CATCCCCTGCCCTCACTGTCTGAGACTAATCCGTGCGAGGATGGGCCTGACTAGTCACCTCCGCACCCACCGTCCAGGTCAATTAACCCCCTCCCACGAAGATGAGACAATGGTCATTGTCGCCATCGACGGACGAACAACAATTAATCTATGTTTTGCAATAGCAAATGATTGTTTTCAGTGTTGAGTATAGTTTACGGTTCTGAAATATAGATTATCGCGTTAATTGCGGTTTACAGATGTAAAATATAGATTAACGTTCTCAACTATAGTTTACTGTCCGTAAGCTGTAGTTTACAACCGATAAACCTAGTTTATCGACTGTGAAACTATGTTTAGCTCATTTTTGTGAATTTGGCGTCCCATACGTAAATTATATGCTTGTGAAAATAAATCATCATAGAAGACATGGGTATACATGGTACAGTATAAACAGTTTGTCAGTGTATTTCCTTAGAAAGTGTAAATGAGTGCGATTCGGGGGGATGAAAGTTCTCCGTGTCATTCGGAGTTAGATACCTTGTGTTATTATTATATCATGGGTTAAAAAATTATTACCAAATAATTGCCTGTGCCTCTTTATTATAAAAACGTGTTCTGAAAGAAGTTGAGAAGTTACCCCCTCCCCCCTTCCGCATCAAACAGTCGTCTTTTTTTCGCTTGTCAAGTTCTTTTCAGGTAGGCTGATTTTTTCCCCGGTTCCCCCTTTCAAAAGCGATGCAACTTTTTTTCCTCGTTGTCATTACATTTTATTGTTTTTTATGCTCTGTTTCTTTCACTTTTCTCTCTGTACTATCTTGTACTTCTTCGCTATCCCTTTTTTCTCTCTATATGCATGCATTCATGAACATACCTACTTCAGTCACCTTCCAGCAGGTCTCAAAACTTCTGTCTGTAAATTTTGATGGGGATTAAATTTTTATCTGTTAATTGTCAAGGTTTAGGCGATATCACTAAACGCAAAGATGTTTTTAACTACTTACGGAGTATGGATTATAATATTTATTGTCTTCAAGATACCCACTTCACAAATAATGTAGAAAATGAGGTTAGAAATATGTGGGATGTGGGGATACCAATGTTACTTTAGCTCCTATACTTCAAACTCAAGAGGGGTAGCAATACTTTTCAATAATAATTTTGATTTTAAAGTACGTCTCGAAAAGGGTGATAAAGATGGAAACTATCACATTTTGAAATTATGCATAGAGGGTCATGAAGTTGTTTTATGCACAGTATATGGTCCAAATACTGATACACCAAATTTTTATGAAAATATTCAAAAGTCACTTGAAGAAATGAACTGTAATAATGTCATATGGTGTGGAGACTTTAACTTAGTGTTAAATCCACAGGTAGATTGCTATAATTACAAATCAATTAATAATCCGAAGGCTAGAGAGAAAGTATTAGAAATCATGGAAGGAATTGGTTATGTAGATCCTTTTAGACAGCTTCATGAAACACTTCGAAGGTACACATGGAGGAAAAAAAAAAACCCATTCAAACAAAGTAGGTTAGATTTTTTTTATAATATCTGAGTCATTGCTACCTTGTCTTAATGCATGTACAGTTGAACCAAGTTACAGGTCTGATCACTCTATGATGTCTATGGTTTTAACTTTTAATGATTTTAAAAAAGGAAGTTTAACAACTCCCTACTTAGTGATAAGCAATACTTAGATTGTATCAGAGATGTTATCTCAAAGGTGAAAAAGCAATATGTACTTCCTGTCTAAGATCATGATAATCTTGATACTATTCTAGATGAAAACATCTATCTTACCATTGACGATCAATTATTTCTAGAAACTCTACTAATGGAAATAAGAGGGAAAAGCATATCATACTCTGCATATCTAAAAAAGAAACAAGTTAATGAAGAGAAAGCATTACTCGAAGAAATAAAGACATTAGAAGAAAATATTTCGGAACACAATGTAGAGGAAATAAACGAAAAAAAGCAAAATTTAGAAAAACTTAGAAAACACAAACTTCAAGGAACATATATAAGAAGTAGAGCAAAATGGGTGGAAGAGGGGGAAAAACCATCTCACTATTTTTGTGGTTTAGAATCAAGAAATTTTAATAGTAAAATAATCCCCAAACTTGTTAAAGACAATGGGGAGATAATTCAAAACCAATTTGAAATTTTGGATGAAACAAAGCAATTTTATGAAAATTTGTACACTACACCTAACAAAGAGTAAAAAAAATGGCAGGGAATACATTAACAGAAGCTGGCGCCTCTTATGACTTAAATTCTGAATTAAATTTCAAAAATATACCCAAGTCTTCATTAGATGAATGTGCATCTTTGGAGGGTAAAATTGCATTACAGGAGGCTTCTAATACACTTAGCAAAATGAAAGCAAATAAATCACCTGGTTCTGATGGGTTTTCAGCAGAGTTTTTAAAGGTCTTTTGGCGATTTCTCGGAGTTTTTGTTATTAGGTCAATTAATTATGCTTATGAAAATAATAGTCTTTCAGTCACATAGAGACATGGAATCATTACACTTTTGCCTAAAAGAGAAAAACCAAGACAATATTTGAAAAACTGGCGTCCAATTACACTTTTAAATACTGTTTATAAAATAGCCTCTGGCTCTATTGCAAATAGATTAAAGACTTATTTGGATAAACTTATCAATCCTGATCAAACAGGTTTTATTTCTAACAGATATATAGGGGAAAACACTCGGCTTATCTATGATATAATGCAATACACTGCTCAAGGAGGAAGAAATTCCTGGTCTTCTACTACTTTTTGATTTCGAAAAAGCCTTTGATACTGTTTCATGGAAATTTATTCAAAAAACCTTAACATATTTTCAATTTGGACCTGATATACACAAATGGGTAAAATTATTCTACCATAATATAACTTCTGCTATTAATCAAGGTGGCAATCTCTCAGCATCCTTCAATATCCATAGAGGCTGTAAACAAGGGGACCCGTTATCACCATATATTTTTTTTTTATTTTGTGCAGAAATTTTAGCTATACAAATAAGAGAAAACAAAAAAATTAAAGGACTTACTGTATGTAATAATGAAAAGAAAATTTCCCATCTAGCTGATGATACCTCAATTATCCTTGATGGTAGCAAGGAATCACTGTTAGAAACAATCTAAGTATTAGAACTTTTTTCAGGTATATCGGGACTAAGAGTTAATTTTTCGACAACTAATACAGTATGGATTGGATCCAAAAAATATAGTCAAGATATCCTTTATAGAGATTTTAATCTGAAATGGGGGACTAATTGATTCACTTTACTTGGAATTAATTTTGATGTAGAACTTCAAAATATGTCTAAATTGAATTATCAGCCAAAGTTAAGCAGAATAAAATCAATCTTGCATCAGTGGGAGGAAAGACACTTAACACCAATAGGAAAAATCACTGTTATCAAAACTTTGGTTCTACCTTTATTAAATCATATTTTTATGGCAATTTCAAACCCAGATGACAATTTTTATAAAGAGTTGGATAAAGTATTCTTTTCCTTCCTTTGGAACCACTCTCAACATAGAATAAAAAAGGATGTAATTGTTAAAACATATGAAGATGGGGGATTAAAGATGATAAATGTAAAGGCTTTTACATCTTCCTTAAAATTATTTTGGATGCGAAAACTCCTACTGTCAAATAGAGATCTACACGATTTTATGCCAATGTTAGATATAAATAAAGTTACAACATGTGGAATTGAATATATAAAAAATATTAAAAAATCACTAAAAAACAAATTTTGGGTTGATGTATTTGACTCATGGATTGAGCTACATCATAAGCAAAACCCAACTGCAGTTACAGCAAATGCTCCACTTTTTTATAATCCAAACATCCTTGTTGGGGGGAAAGTATTTTTCGATAAATCCATGTTGATGCTAATATCCGACACCTTAATTATAAACGAAGAAGGTGTTTTCTTGCCTTATGAATCTGTTTGTGATATATATCCACAGGTGAAAATTAATTTTCTAGAATACTTGAGTGTTATAAGTGCTATTAAAGCATGGATGAAAAAAAGCAAATTTTGATGGAAATGTAACTAAATCACAAAACCCTCTGGTTATGTCAAATATAAATACCCTTTTAGAGTGCAAAAAATCAAGGCAATTTTATAATCTTCTCAACCAAAATAGCACAGAACCTACCGGTAAAAGAAAGTGGAATGAAATATTTGAACTAAATGACAAAGAATGGAAAATGATTTTTAAATTGCCTTTTAAAGTTACAAACAATTGCAAACTGCAATGGTTCCAGTATCGAATTTTGAACAAAATTTTGGCCTCAAACTCATATCTATTCAAAATCAAGATCATAGACAACAAAAATTGTACCTTCTGTCAAGTGGAAGAAGAAACAATGGAACATTTGCTTTGGGAGTGTGATCATGTACAAGATTTTTTAAGAGAATTTGAGAATTATCTTGAAAATAAAACAAATCTTCAGATATCAGTAACAAAAAATAATTTCATTTTTGGATTCTTAGATAAAAGGAAAAAGACACAAAATAATCTTTTTCTATGGCTTAAATATTATATCTACACAATGAGGTGCACAGGGAAGACACTAAATGTACCTGCTGCGATATCGCTTATGAATTCATTTTATGAAACTCAAAAATATATTGCATACAAAAATGGTGAAAAGGATATGTTTGATACCTGCTGGAACTACTGGAAGCTTTTATTTCAATGAATTTTTAGACTGATATAAATATTGTGAATGCATGCACCCCTCTCTTTTTTCTCCCCCCCCCCCCCCAGCTTTCTCTCTTCTCTTCTTCCCCCCTCCTCCCTCTCTCTCTTTCCCTCTCTTTCTAAAATGAAAAAATTACACCTTCTGTATTTGTTATTAATCATTTATTGTATTAAATAACTGAATGTGTAAAACAAAAATAAAGAATTATATATATAATTCCATTCCGCTTTCCGTTCCGTTTCGCGTTTTAGCAACACCCTTATTCAATGTAGGTCACATGATAACAAAATGGAGAATTTGTCAACACATGCCGTTGGCTGCATGGCAGCGTTTTAACAAGTTAATTTGTGGATAAAGTAACTGGACATAGGGATCAAGATGGCAGGGAATACATTAACAGAAGCTGGCGCCTCTTATTCAAAAGCGGTAAGATAGAGTTTTCATTTGATCATGCTTGGGAACAGTATATTTTAGGCCTAATTGGTTCCAAATTTTGAACCGAGTAGTGGTACACTGTGATCTTTTTATTAGCTCACCTGAGCCGAAGGCTCTCAAGAACCACTGGGCCAATTTCAACCAAACTTAGCACAGAATACCCTTGGGTAAAGGGGATCCAGTTTGTTCAAATGAAGGACCACACTTCCCAGGGGAGATAAACTAAGAAATATTTATTGAAATTTTGGTGGGTGTATCGAAAAATCTTCTCAAGAACAAGTGGGTTAGAACAGATGAAACTTATAAGAAAGCGTCTTGACATAACATAGATTTAAGATTGTTCAAATCATGACCCACAGGGGTAGGAATATTGGGGCCACAGTGAGGGATCAAAATTTTACATAAGAATATAATAGGGAAAAATCTTCTCAAGAACAGATCAAAAAGCTATTTTTAGTCATATTGACATGTAAGCATCCTCATATAGTGAAGATTCAATTTGTTCAAATCATGGCCAGGGAGGGGGTTGGTATGAGGGACCACATTGGGGGATCAATTTTTTTATATAGTAATTGATATTGTAGGAAAATAATATCTTTAAAAATCTTCCTTCAAGAACAAAAATTAAAATTTTGCAAAATTGATATGGAGGCATCCTCAAGTAGTATAAAATTCAAATATTCATATCACGATACTCATCACACAGTAAAATCACATAGTATACTGGTATATCAATATATCATTTAAATAAAAGAAAATCCAAATCAATGCTGAATTTTTTTGACAATTTTAATTGCAGGTAGGATTTGTATATCTGTTTAATCTGATTGTGGGTACAGGAGCACTGACGATGCCCCTGGCTTTCCAGAATGCTGGCTGGTTACTGAGTTTGATCATCATTGTATTGCTAGCAGGATTCAGGTTTGACTCAAATTTCTGAACTAGTATATTGAACATAGACTCATTGATGAATTACATTACCAAGTAATATTTTAGTGACTCTCTCATTCCAGTACCAGTGTTTTCTTTAATTGAAAATACCAATAGAGCACTGGAGTTAGATGTTTGATTTAAATATGAGATTGATAAGTATTTCATAGATTATATACATGCATGCATATGAATTGCACTGAATTAGTTAACTTAACCTTAACCAATCAGTTATTCTAGTTTTATATTTTGTAGCTACATGACTGTAACATTTGTATTGGAGGCGATGGCTACAGCCAATGCTACCCTTTTCCTGCATAAAAAAGCTGATATTGTTTATAAAGTAAGTTAAAATAACCTTCTTTCAACTTCACAAGTGTGACGCACAACAATAAGAAAAGTGACTCATTTATTTTATAGTGATGTAAAAGAAGTACAGTACTTGTATTGTGAGGGCAATAACATATTGGGTCATTTCTCATAATTAACTGTTTAAAGGCATTCTTATTGTTTATTCACACTGTCAAAATAGTCATCCTGCGTGTATGAAATGAAATTAATCAGCAGGATGTGTAAAATATCAAGCTTTAAATTGAAAGCTTATATGAGATCATTTATAACTGTCATTTATCACTAGATCTCTCCAGGTCTTACACCCATCCCCCCTTCTCCCCTTTAAAATTTTATGAATTAGCTTGTTAATCCCAACCTTTCTTTGCAAACCACATTTTTTAAATTTTTTAAATTCATTTTTAATTTTATAGCCTGAAATAATTTTCTGGTTTCGAACAAAATTATCTTGATTTTTAATTTTATAGAGGTTATAATGTAACCATTGAAATAATTTTCAGAGTTTCTTATTGTGAAGAAAATGTTTTTTGAAAAATATTGTCTGAAAAATAAATTCAAGCATTACAGTATATCATTTATCTTGGAAACAGAGAACAGAGTCTGTCCGTGCTAACATTGGAGACTCAGCAGAAGTTGCATCAGATGCAGATGTTTTCCAGGACGAGAGGAGCCCTCTGTTGAAGAGTGATGAAAAAGGTGTGTGTATTGTCAAAAAAAGAGTAATCACTCTATCTGTCTGTCCAGAGGTCCACAAGTTATCTCTCTTTCACCCCATGTTATTTTCGCCCATTTGCACGTGCAAACAATTTTGCCCCGTCCTAAATTCGCCCAGTCATTGTTTTGTTTAAGAAATTATGCAGTGTAATTTGAATTTGCACCGTTTTAAGAAATACAGTATAAGAAATACAGCTGAACTTTGATACATGTGTCTCTAACACAGACATCAAATAAACTTGATATGTTGAAGTGATTTCAATTGGAAGTTTAGATCACTTTTTAAAGTATTTCACCCTCAATATCCCAAACCCTTGAATATCATGACTTTTTTTTCAGTCCCATTGTGTTCGATATAATGAGAATTTACTGTATTTAAATTTAATCTATTTGTCATCTGAATGGGACTGGGGGATGGGGTAGGTAGTTATATATCCTTGTAAAAATGTATGTGCAGAGATAATACATATTGAATTTGAGTAGAAAATTAAAACTTTAAAGTTAACTTTCATAGGATAAGTTATCTTGTATGCTGTAGAATCTTTAACTGTCACATAAAGAATATATCACACCTTCATCTTCAAGTGATGTCTTTGTGGAATGTTGCATTTCTATCATCTTACGGCAAATCTTTCAGTATGTCACCCACAAAGTTGTGATATATATGTTCAAGATCACATTAATTGGCCAGTTGTCTGAAATGACTCTTCTATAAAAAGATTTTTAATTTTGTGATTCTAATTAATAACTCTTTTATTTATTTTTTTTTTTTGGGGGGGGGGGAGGTGTTAAAGATCATGTTATACTGTTCATGTAAGAGAGGGTATGTCTTTTAACCCTGTATGAGAAGATATTTCTTAGTCTTGATCATTATCATTTTGAGCCATAATGGGCAAAGTCGGTACATGTACTAGTATATGCATGATACGCCTGTGTAAATTTCTTTTTTTTGACAAAGCTGTCAAATGCATGTTGTCTTGCTTTCCAGATAAAACTATTGACCAGAGTAAGTTTGATATATTATGTAGATGTATAATTAGCCAGAAGTAAAATTTAAAGTCTTTCTTCTTAAAACAGAAGATTGCTGTGTTCTTATTGGTTTAATAATCAGAGAAAAGTAGTTTTCTTGTAGTTTTCTTCTCATTAACATATACAATCCATCACTTGAAGTTATTGGTATTGAAATTGATGCGAATAACAGAAGTTGAAAAACAACTCAATTTTTTTTTTTAATGTTGACATGATTCATTAATTTTACATTAAACAAAAAATGTTTTAGCAAACTTTCACTTAAAATTTTCTCTGGTTAAAAAGCTTTTTTAAAAGTATTCTTTTAAGTTTTGCAAATTTGGACTTTAAAAAAATTTTTTCTGAATGTTTTTCAGTGCGTTGATGTTTGGATTAATTGTATTGAATTCCTTCTTCTCTTACCTTTATGGTGACAGGTTTTTGAAATTCTAAATGCAAGTTGAAGTCATTGATTCTGGATTTTTTTTATGTATATCTACTACATCAATTGTAAGGTTATTTTAACTTTTTCACCACTTTCAAGCACCTTACTTAAATGGTTTAAACTTTATACATGTACTCTACTAAAACACCCATTTGTACTTAAAAAATAATTTTAGCAAATATATCTATTCAATTTTCATGTTGAAAGTTATTTTTTCATATATTGAAATGTGACATCTCTCAATATAATGATTAATTTGAATGCAGTGAAATATTTTTTGTAAATTAATCCAAGGAATACTTAATTTTCTAATGAGGAAAGCATTGAGGAAACATTATAAAATTAGCTCTTAAAATACTTGAAGTGACTGAAAATATTAAAAACATGCATGTTATGTAATTTGAATGTCCAAAACCATAAAACCTTGCATTACATGTAATTGGATCTTGATTTATAATACCTGTATCATTTAATACCAGTTTTATATCCATGATTTTGTTGGTATATGGCAAAACTGATCATCATGTACTGTAATATGTACTTATTTGACTGATTTCCTTATTGATGTTGTAGATTACAGAGATGACATGTTTGATATCAAAGAAAGGGTGGAGTTGGTAAGTGCGTTCTTCAAGTGATACATGTGCTTAGTACTGGGTACATGTAGAAAAATATTTTGTGTATTTTACACGTAGTTATTTAACATGAATGCATTTGTGTAATACACAGTACCTGGTATGACATTGAACATTTTTACTTTCTAAATTTTCATTTTCTTAATTTCAGGGGAAACTGGCAGAGCTGTTTTTTAATAAATGTATGTATCTTCTGGGTTTACAGTAAACTACTTTCTCTATTGTTAACGTTATGCAAATTACTAGTGTCACCTGTGTAGTGCAGTGGTTAGAGCTTCTTCTCTGGAGGCACAAAGTAAGGAGTTGATCCTTACGTTGCGGGTTTGAATCCCACTGTGGGACGTGGAGATCGGTCCTTCGGATGAGACTGTATAAACCAGTGTCCCATGTCACAGTTGGTGTTGGCACGAGAAAGATCCCTCACTGCTCAATGGCCCTAAGAGCCACATAATTTTGACAAAATTTGCAGCTCTCCACCGGTAATTGGTGGCGTCTCCATATGAGTGAAAAATTCTCAAGAGGGACATTAAACAACATACAAGCAAATTAGTAGCAGAACCAATATGCATGCTCGGGGGATGGGGGGGGGGGGGTATTTAAGCTACATCAAATGTTAATGATACAAGAAATAGACTGTGGTGAATGTCTATGTGAAAAACTTCTTGCATACTCTGTGTAAATTTCCTTTATTTCCATAATAAACAGTAGTTACAATTCTCATTTATAAAGTTAAGTCTCAGCTTGAGGCACTATCCTGAGCCCAAGGAAATCTCAATTTATTTTTCTCTCCATTGCAGACTGCTTTAATAGTTAAAAAAGTTTGGATCTTACATCTGTTTACAAAACTAGATCTCATATTTCCTTTTTCTGTAGAAAAATTCTATATTTTGACTCAAATCTCAATTCAAACCAGGAGAATTTTAAGCTAACTTGAATATTTATGATTTTGTTTTATTTTCTACAGTTGGAGTTATCCTGTTCTACCTCTGTATGGTGATATATCTGTATGTTGATCTCTCTATTTATGGTGTTGTTTACTTTATACAGTTGGAGTTATCCTGTTCTACCTCTGTATGGTGATTTATCTGTATGGAGATCTCTCTATTTATGCTGTTGCTATTCCTAAGTCACTCAGGGATGTTATATGGTAAGTCCTACAGTCTGCAGACAACTTAATTGTTAAAATTATAAAATTGCAGTTTATGATTTTAATGTAAATCAACAGCATGAAAATTGTGAAACATAGCTTTAAAAGAATTTTTTTTCTTTTTTCTCTTAAAATGTGTTTTGTTCTGAAAACAATTGGAAAAAATTATAGCTCAATTGTGATATATGTTTTCTTGAGATGTAGGAAAATAAAAGATGTTGAAAATATTAATTTTTTTTCAGTACATACAAACACAATGACAGTCAAAATGTCTCCTGCTCTAGTTTGACCTTGGTCAACTCTGACCCCTGCTGGGCGAGTTCAAGTCAAGACAGAGCATCTGTTTACAGAATAATGGTGGTATGTACACATAAAATTTTAGCTTTTAGTTCACCAAAGCCAAATTAAGGCACTACTAATATTCTCTAATCAAAGTTTTTGCCTCAGTTGTCAATTATTTCATGTCCACTCTTTAAAAAGTAGTTTTACACATAAAGATTCTTAATTCTTATAAATGGAGGTTAATGAAATAAGAAAAACATTTAAACTGTTGAAAATATTGCCATACAATTGCCATACAATACAACAAATCAATATAGTTATAAAAAATATTTCAATATATCACAATACAAATTCCCCAAATTATACCCACACCAAGATAAAGTGTAATTTGAATGACTCTACTGTATTTTATTTTGTTAAGGCTGTGTTTGCTGTCACTCTGGGTCCTTTCACTTTCTTCAATGTCCAGAAAACCAAGTACCTCCAACTCTTTACCACATTAACAAGGTGGTTAGGTAAGAAAAAGTAACATTCTTGAAAGCAGTGTGAATAAAAACTATTAAATGAAACAATGAATAAAATTACTGAACTAGGAAATTAAAAAGAAAAATATTTTAAAATATTTTTCATTTCATTTCAGCATTCATGATCATGATTGTATTAACCATCATCAGGCTGGCTAACAAAAAAGGCAAAGGACACCCCCCAGTAGTGGACTTTGAAGGAATTCCTAATTTATTCGGAGTGTGTGTCTACTCGTTCATGTGTCATCACTCGCTGCCTTCCCTTGTGACACCAATCAAAAACAAGAGCAACCTCTTCATCATGATTTTCTTCGACTTCATTTTAATTTTAGCATTTTATGCCTTGGTTTCATTTACTGGTGCCTTTGCATTTCATGAACCTAAAGACATTTACACTCTAAGTTTTATCCCCGATGCCTGTGATGCCAAAGAACCAATAACTAATTCAGCAGTATTACAATATTATCTAGCCCTTTTCCCTGTTTTTACATTGAGCACTAGTTTTCCTATCATATCCATAACGCTACGAAACAATCTGAAAACCATGTTTCACAAAGAAGGGAGATCATTTTCTTGGTTCGTGGACAGAATTGTCTTCCCCTTGGCAGCCATTACTCTTCCCTTTGTGATCGCCTTGGCAACGGATGAGGTGGAGTTCTTGGTGGGGATCACAGGGTCGTACGCCGGGGCAGGAATTCAGTACGTCATTCCAGCCACTTTGGTTTTGATCTCCAGGAGAGCAATTAAATCTGATCCATCAATCTCCACTTTAAACAACAGATTTACCTCCCCTTTTAAGCACACGTTTTGGGTCATTCTAGTCATTGTATGGTCTGTTGTGGCCATGGCTTTTGTCACTGTCAACCACATCATAACTAGGAAATAATGGTGTTAACTTTTAGGTTTATTCAGAGCTTAGCCAGTATATTTGCTTTGCTGATTTTTTTTTTTACCATGAGGAGGGCACATGTATTTATTGTATTTAAATACTCTCTAACCAAATAAAAAAAATTCCTGCAATCATTAATTTTTGTGATATATTGCAGTTCAGTCAAAACTTATAGGAATGTTTACCCGCTCTTGCAATGCAGTGTTTAGATAATTTTTTAAGAAGTTTCTTTTGGCTGCCTATTGTAAGTGTCCTATCTTAACTTTTTGAGATTATTTTTGAAGCATTCAATAATTCTTGTTATTTTAAAACAGTGCAATAAATCCTCACTGCTGTTGATATTAGAATTTCTTAAAAAAAAACTTGATTGATCTGAATTGTCTGTTGATGAGTTCATGCGAATTGGGTTGTACATGTACGAGGGTTGTCCCAAAATTCCGTAGACAAGCGTTATTTTGTAGGAACCCTATGTCATACATTAATGAAACTTCATATATAGATTAAACCAACACTATCTAATAAATTGATGGACAAATATGGAGTAACTACACAAATTATTCTAATTTTAAAGACACCTTTCATTGTCTGGTGTAGGAAGGCGGCGCAATACCCGAAAGTTGCAATTAAAAATTTGGTATATTATATTTAAATTCCTACAGATAAGTGATTACTACCCTGTAATTTTTTATTCGAAGTGAAAATTCTCAATACTGATTTATTATCTTTATTTCCTCAAATTTTGGTGTTTGTGCTTTGATAAATATGAATTTTATAACGTTTTATAAACATAGGGTTGAAATCCGACTTTATATAATATATATGGCGGTTATTTCTGCGTATGGCACAGGCGTTGCGCACTGGACAATGTTCAAATGTTTTGATCCTAAATTAACTCTTACGAAAATGTACCAGTCATAAATATTTGGTACACAAGGAAACTTTTTCTCGTCCTTAGTATTTTAAATGACTAAAACGGTTTCTTAATGTATATGTGAATAACAGTAACTAAAATAAACGAAAGGGCTAAGAAATGGGCAAGAGTTCCATTGTGCAACTCCAGGATATGTTGAGATTAAAAATTGTTCAAGATGACCCTGGGGCAAACACCCGTAGAATATAGTGTTTTTAAATAACTATTATTCCATATCTGTACATGCATATACTTTGATTACATATATTAATGTTTGATCATATCAAAGTAACTAAGATTTTACACATTTACAACTATAACCGTTTGTTTTCAATTTAAGAATTTGGAGGCATAAATTGAAATATTTTCTCCTAAAATTGAAAAACTTTGACATTTGTATTTTTTGACGTTGAAGATTGCTCCGGGTGTTTTTTCTAAAACGATATCACTTTATATCGTACATCACCAAAAGATTTCAAGTAAACATATATAAAACTTCGTAATTTATCTGCCAAGAATTTGTTTTCCACCCTGAAAACTTTAAAAAGATACATTAAATTCTTTAAAAGATATGAGCTCAGTCTACGAAATTTTGGGACAACCCTCGTATAAACATTTTCAATATTGTTTCTTTTTAATGTGTTAAGATTTTTTCTTTAAAACTTAAGTTTTTGATCTTATTATTTCAATTCCTGGTACATGTGGTAAGGTAAACATAAAAAACTTTAAATGATCAATAAATATTGATTCTTTTATATTTATTATTTTTTTTCTGTTTTATGAAAATGTATGGCCTGTTCCTTAAAATTTATGTTTGTACTTTATAAGTTTTGTTTATTGAAAATCTGTGATAAATACATGTATGTCTTAATATTGTTTCTATAGTTTTAAAATCATCAAACTTTGTTATTTGTAATTTGTTTATTGAAAAATTAGGTCAAGGTGACGTACTTGTGACATTTATGGCTATATTTAAATTTGAAAAAATACCTGTCATTTAATTTTTGTCAATTTTGTATATATCTTATTGTGTCACATACTATAAAGCAGACATATCAATAGGTTTCTAGACTTATTTCTGAGATATTGAGTGACAAATACCATACCCCACAGTGTTTCTTTTTAATTTTTGAGACATATTCCAAAATTGAAATTTTTCACCATAGATAAAAGATCTACCAGCGGAAATGTGTCTTTTAAAATATTTTATAGTATGAATAGGGTTAAAAATTCGAAAAAGCAAGATTCTTTTGTAACACCACATCTGGAGACGGAAAGAACTTTATTCGGTTATAACCAATATTTGCCCCCAAATCAAACTTTGATGGAGATATATTTAATTAAGTTCTTAAATTATATTGACTTCAAAGTACTGAATATTTTTATGCAAAATGATCATATGCACGTAATGACGTCACAAACATGACGTAAATTTAATTTTTTATACACATAAATTGTTATTTCCTCGATTTTTTTAAGGAAAAGTCACCGAGCGCATGTGTGTTCAGGATCGATATTTTGATATAATGTGTAGAATGATAATATCAATGAAATATGTAAATATGTGATTGTTCCTGATTGCGCTCTATAAATTCTAAACTTTGTTAAATTTTATTTTGTCCTCTTTCTGAAAAAGGATATGAAATCACTAGTTTGTGACGTCATAAAAACAAAAATTGTGAATTAACTGCTTTGAAACTATAATATGTTCTGTTTATTTATATTTCTCATACAATTTATTGAATTCAGCGCATTTCAGGAAGTTTTCAAAATTTGACTTTTGTGGGGGCAAATATATGCAATATACCGCATATAGTTCTTTACGACTTTTTTAGGACAACTTAAACCATAAAAAAATTAATTTGCAAAAAATCCTATCATTCAATATTTGAAAATTTACATCGAAGTTCAAGGTCGTCATTGTATTGATTAACTGTAAAAATATCGATTGGTGAAGCTCATTCTCAATATTGCAAACCAGAAAAGTTAAATGAGTTGTCATGAGAAAAACGTGTCATGTTTACATTTCAAAGTATGAAAAATTATTTCACACATTCCTCAAATAAGCGAAATAAGACAAACCCACAGAACTTTTCCGTCAACAACCATGTAAAAATATTTTTTGCGTTCTGAAATTTACAAAGTATTTGGAAAAAGAATGTTTTAAAATTTATACTACCCATTTTAACCGAATGTATGATCTTATGAGCAGTGATATTATGACATCAAGACGCACTGGACGCGCAGAGTAGGGAAAGGCAGAGTGGATACTATTCCGTAAAAATATTTGCAAGAAATTTTGAATGTTTTCAGATATTTTTATACGGATATAACGCAAACAAACAGTATATAACTGTGGTTTCAATCTCGTTTTTACATATTTTATCAGAGATTATGACGTAAATCAACTGAGTCAAAATTTCATCCCCTAACAAATCTTGGCTTAGAAAAATTTAATCAGTTTATGCACCTTGCATTTTCAACGAATTTACGGATATAGCTGTGACTGACTTTTGAATCCCGTATTTATTGGTTAGAATATAATCTTTGTCAATTTTACATCTTTTATAACGAACTTTGACCTACTTATAGATTTCAAAATTTAAAATAATTGAACTAGCTAAGAATCATTAAACTTTGTCAGTTGATGCATTTTTATATAAAATTCAATTCATAATAAAACCTTGGTTATCGAAGGTATGTTTTTTAATATTTGCTTCCTTAACATATTTGATAGTAACACTTGTAGGAAAACATGCATATTGCGAATTCGCTATATATGGTTATATATATGAACAGAAAAGGTGTTTTTGCGGATATAACGAATTACGGATATAGCGAAAATATTTGGAAAAAGGTTATGTTTTAAAATCTATCTCAAGATTAAAAATTCTGACTATAACCGTGTATTAAATACTGTACATGTATTTAATTTGTTAAAATAATAGACCCAAGGGGTGGAGTTGGCCACACACACATGTGTGATCAAATTTTAGCATTGATATATATATGATTTTTTACTGTTAATTTCAATTCTTCTCAAGAGCATGCAGCAGGATCATAATTTTAGATATTTTTTAAAAAAAAACACAAACATCCTCAGATAGTGCAGATTTAATATTTTTTAAAACTTGTCTAATAATAACTGAGTATGTAAAGGCTTACAGAGAGAATTTGATATGTGATTTTTTATTTTTCTTTAATTGTATCCATTTATTTAACAATCTGACAATTGTACAGTGTCATGCCATTTAAAACTGTGATGTCCTCCAACATTGCATTGAAACTAGAATGGCTCTTTGCCAGAATAACACATTATACTGTCTTTCAACTCGGCACCTGATATGTATGGATCAATATGGGTGTCATTTAACAAGGAAGAGATAAGAAGAGCAATTTAAACAAGATTTGGGATATAACATGATTGTAACACAAATGAAAATCTATCATGGCCTGTTTGAATATTATCATCATTAAACAAATATATTTTATCTACTGAATTTAGAGAGTTTCATTATTTGTTCTACTGGATCTTACATTGCATGTAATGATTAAAGGATTAGTTTAAAAGTGGAACATCTGCTTTTCAGTTATATTATGTATATATTTTGAACAAGTATTCTTTGTACTTTTGACTGCACTAAATCACTAAGTATCAAGTAGTACATGTTTATGTGTTTATGTATGGAAAAGTTTGGTTTTTTTTGTTTTTTTTGAAAATGGAAAGAGATGCAAAGTTAATTTTTTTAATTTAACTTTATCAAACTAACAAAATTGTGCTTTATTTGCAATAAAAAACTGTATGTTCATATAATTAAAAGAAAATGCATTGTCTTTTCGATTATTTTTAATATACATATAAAACAAAAACAATGCTTGACAAGATTATATATGCTGACAACAAAACAAAAACCATTAGATGTATATAACTCATAAGAAATTATAACACCAATATTGCCTTTTCATTATTTAATACTATAGGCAAAAAATATCTTCATAATTAATACAGGTACAAGTAATTTCGGAATGACTGCATGATATGTAACAGAAAATTAAAGAAACAATTCAATTTATACTTTATCACAGATTTTCTTGCATAAAAAATAGAAGTAGAAATACATTTATTATTTTTTCCCCCCTTTATCATAAAAATCCCAAAATTCATTGTCTTTTTTAGGGGCCAGTTTTACCGTCCCTTGATCAGGAGGGGGAGTAACTGGGGGTGTTTCAAAGACTACCTCTTCAAATTCTGGTTTTGCAGGGTTTTCTTGTTTTTGAGCTGGTTTCTTTTTAACTGGTTTCTGTTTAGTTGGATTGGGTGCAGGTTTTGGTTTTGGTGCAGCATTTCTATTCCAATTTGCCTCAGCTTTTGGTAGATTGGTGAAATAATCATTCCAGCTTTTTTTCATGCGTTCATTCAAAATGTTGAATTCGGCCCAAGTACCTGAATTGGGATTGAAATTATCGTACCTAAGAATTTTTATTTTTGATCATTTTTCATTTATTACAAAATGTGTAATCCTAATACAAAAGTGTGCAAAGAGAAGAAAATCGAGAGCTGAGGATATTTTTTTAAGCTTTTGCTTTTTTGGCAACAGTTTCTTCAAAATAACTCTGCCAAGCCTTTTTCATCCGGTTGTTGATTACATTATGTTCTGCCCAAGTGCCTGTAAATTAAAGGTTACAATATGTTCAAGCTTCCAAGAGGAATTTGCCTAGGTGATATAATTTCTACATCAAAAGCAGTGAAAAATATATATATATGCTTGAAAAGAAAATTATAATGTTACAGTATAGGGGATTAAAAATACAACAGATGTACCTTTTCCAGTGTGTATGAATACTTTTTCCAGTGTGTGTGTGTGTGTGTGTGTGGGTGTGTGTGTGTGTGTGTACATTATGAATACCTCATTATATTTTATACATCTTTTAAAGACTACTTAGAAATATGTTGAAAGTTTTGAAATTAATACATTGTCAGGGCAAAATGTTATTCCTTCAATATATGTATATGTCTTTACTAGAAAGAGTCTTTACAGCTATTGTGTTCTACCAAAAAAAAAATTAAAAGTTTATATTATTGCATAACTTTAACCTTGCCCATAAAATATATTTATAGTTTAATTAGGACAAGCAGTTTGCTGACAAAAACAATAGCAATTGATATTTTTAATTCTTCTCAAATAACTTTGAAAAAATTAACAAATATTTAGTATAGGTTTTTGGCTTTTTGTTTTTTTTTTCAGATTGAATATGAAATATTTAGAAAATTAGTAAGCATTTGACTGCCATTGCTTCTTTCACTGTTAAAATTTAATTAACAATAGAAATTTTTAGCCATTGCAAGATGGTTATATACTTACTTAATTCATCCCTTTGATAACGCCATTTGTCTGGGTCAGGAACCCGTTGAAGGTGAACAGCATCTGTAAAAGTTGACTTAGTGGTGCTGATTTTGTGATTAACATTATATCCGGGGAACACATTCATCCTCATAAAATTTCCTAACTGTTCATACTCTGGTTTTAAATTTTTGTCTATTTTTGGAACTGAAAGTGGTTTTCGCACTCTATAAGCAGCTTCTTTGTCTTCCTTCTGTTTTTGCATGGTTCTCTCAACCACTTTTTCATCATTAAGTAAAGATTCGCATATTTTGCTTCCGAACTGATGTCGGATATTTTCCGGCAAATCAACAGCTAAGCTTCTTCTTGAGGCAGGCCTTGAGCCATTTGCAGACTGATTAGAATCCTGAGGTCCAAGGGGGAGAACTGTCTCAATTTTTTCCTTTTTTTGCTTCGAGTAGTTTGAAGGTTCCCTCCTGGTTGGAAGGTCCATATTTCTTGGACGCATGACGTCTCCCATAAGACTATAACTGTGAACACTGGGCTTTCGGCCATATTTGTCTCTGTTGTAACTGTTTCTTTCATTCAGCCCAACTCTGTTCATATCCTTTAGCATGTTTGAGGCCTCCATTGTCATCAGAAGCTTCTGTCTGGGGGTCGGGTCCCCATCCCTCATACCCTCATACACATCCATTTCAAACTTCTTGGCCTCCTCTTCTTTTTCTTGTAGAGATTTTCTAGCAGTTTCTACTGCAGATTTCTGTTTCTCTATGTCTCTCTTTGTTTTCTCAATGAAAAGTCTTTTTCCTGTATAGAATAAAATAAATTAATATATGATCTTTCACGGGATTTTTTTAATTTGCATATTTTATTTCACAGTGACTATTGATGAGAAATATGAATAATAGTTATTACTCATGATAATTTAAAAATGAATTGAAGAAACAGTTTATCCTCTATGAAAAAGAAAGGGTTTGATGTAAACATTTTAAATTTAAGAATAAACAAACTATTAATTTTAAGGAATGTCCCATCAAGTGCCACAATGTGGTTAAAATACAATTCAAAAGCAATATTAGATTATATGTTGATAAGAATATTTTTCACTGTAAACCTAAGTTAATATAAACACTTAAAAGCATGAAAAAAAATTAAGTTTAATAAGTAAATATGTAAATAATACACTTGTTCTCTAAAAAAAAAACAATTTACTTACCTAAAAGAGTATATTACTATGTAAAATTCAATGCTATTTATATGTGCATTAATTATCTCACTTTGACAAATTTTCAAATTAGACTATAATTAGTATTGTATAATATCCTAGTTTATCTAGATTGAACACCATACAAAATAAATTATCTTAAAATCTGAAACTTTATTTTATTGCCAAATTTGAAACAATGCTGATTTTAACAACACTTAGAATGTAATTGTTAACAAATTTGGAGAAGTCATGCATACCGGTAGCCACAGTACACTTTTTCAAAAAGAATCAAAGAAATTAACATTAGTTGAAATTATTTAATTGTGTTATTCTTTAGAGTAACTACTCAAAAAGCAATATATATATTTACTATTTAGATATTTCATCAAATATTTTATGATGATATGAGAAAGAGAGAAAGAGTAAGAGAGAGAGGGTACATGCATATTATTGTCTGGGATATACTGATTTCCCTTAGTGGGTTTTAAAAATAGAGAGAAGAGAAGAATTTGCTACACATGCAGGATGATACTATTATTTGGGAAGAGTCGAACAATATAATCTAATACATGTGTAAATATGATAATTCTGAAGGGTTAATTTTCAGCATGCATAATATAGATTACATTTAATTTAATTACTCTACCTAGATCTAATATATATCAAATATTTGTAATATTATTGCCTACAGTGACTGATACTCTGGCATGCAGGTATACCTTTTAAGTGATTTTTCACAAATTCGGGAACTACATAATGCTGTGTATATTTGTGGCCACTTGGTACTCTTTGGGTTTTAAGGTCAATATTTTTTATTGCCTCCCTCTCCTCGGGGTCAAAAACCTCCAGAGCAGTGCCAAAGAGAGTGTGTTTTGGCATTGCTTCTGTTTTTTTACTTTGTGTTGGTGCTGAGAGTACCCTTAATGCAGGAAGGTGCTGTGTTTCCATTGCAACTGTCATCTTCAGTGCAAACTAATTGAAATTATAACTGCACACAAAAAACACACAATGAAAAATTAATTGTTAATTACAGTGAATTTAAATGTTTATAAATTATATTTCATTAGAATGTATTAGCATGGTACCAGTTTTAAAACTGTTAATTATTAATAACTACATGCATGGAAATTTGAGGGGAAATGCACACCTATTGTATAATTATAATGCTGTTACTTGTAGCTGTGGGAAATATTAAATCAATAAAACTGTTATATTTTTCTTCAAAAATGCAAAAGATAACATTATCAGATTTTTTCTTTTTTTTTTATTTTGATACTTTAAACCAGTTTTTTAAATTATTAATTTGAAATACGAGCAAACATGCATGTATTTTAAACATTTTAAAAAGTTTTAAATGTCATTTGATTATATAGTTTACATTAAATTGATTGATTGAAAAACAATTCAAGAAAGCTAAGTTAAACACTGCATTTCTTTGTGTAAATCATAAATGTGACTCAATATTATACAGTCATTAAGCCTAACATGAAGTATTTATGATAGGCACCATCTCAAAAGCTAGCATACATGTACATGCCACACATTGGTTTATAAATTAGTTGCAACTAAACAAATTGAAAAAAAAAATCCTTCTATGATTACGCCAAATTTGTGCATTTACATGCATTAATTTTAATATGAAAACAATTAAATTTTAATTAAAATTTGAAGATTATTTATATAAAAATATATAATATTGATTTTTTTTTTTTTTTTTTTTTTTTTTTTACACATTTGAACTTTTACATAGATGATTAGATCTATTATATATCAGAAAAAAATTAATTAGTAAAAGGGAAAAGTCGATGCCAAACTTTATAATTAATATACAATATATGAAACACTTCCAAAAATTGCTTACGTTATAAAGAAACACTCTCCCCAAGGGTGGCCATGTGTAATCAATCAGTTGCTAGGGGGCGTGGTTACGTAGGTGGGAAAAACGTATCCCAAAACTGTGCACTTTTAACTTTCTAAGCATGAAATTTAAATATAAATCTAAAATAAGCTATTTATGTGTCTTTTTTCTTTTTATTTTTATAAAGATCAAGCTTTTGACATAGGATCATTTAAAAATTTGAAACATAACGAGAAAGGAATATTCAAGGTAAGAGTTATCAATTATTTTTATGACGAAGTACACAGTTCCGGTTTTCAGCCGACCTCCAAAACACAGGGCAAAAGTAAGAAAACGCGTTGTTTTTTATTCAAAACTATCAAATAAGTGAAGTAAATCATACATTTTCTCCAAAATTTTAACCGGTAAGATATTCTAGTGTTCTGTTGTAGGATGTCAAGTCGATGCTTATTACGTAGTCTCCGGACTGTTACAAAACATGGAAAGGCACCTCTACCAGCTGTCACAGGACTCATTAGTAGAGCTAACCTGTCAACGGCAGTGCTCAGGAAAGCACAACACCCACACTACCGAGCCGTAAATATCAGCTCCATTCCTCATAGGCATGTAGCGACTGCTGAGAAGAAATTTGAGTGTTTCAATATCCAAGATGCCAAAGACTTTCAAACTAGAGTGATGGAAAACCCTGTGCCTGTAGTTGTTGACTTTCATGCAACGTAATTATTGTATTTCTAAACATTTTTTTGTACAACCATTTATTGACAACAACTTGTATATTGGTAATTGTGTCTTGACAAACATTACCTTGAACAGTTTAAGCTTGGTACCATAGTAGTCTTAGAACTGGAGCCCTCTGGCTCCAGTGCTGTACAACTAAAATGAACTAACTTTTGATCTTAGGCTTTAAAAGAAATATATATTGAAAAGTGAAACTGATATGAGAAGAGAATTTGTGTGATTTTTATGGCCATGGAGCATGGTTTAGAAAATTGTGACAGATAAAACCAGAGTAAGATTGATTGTATGTATGTTGTTTAACATCCCTCTGGAGAATTTTTCACTCATATGGAGACCAACTTCTTGCTTGTGGAGAGCTTTAAATTTTCTCCTATAATTGGCACTTACAACAATTGAGCAGTGTTGAGATGTGGGACCTTGATTTATACGGTCTCAATCAAAGGATCTGTCTCCACGTCCCACAGTGGGATTTGAATCCGTGACGCAAGGATCAACTCCTTACTAAACTACTCTAGAGCAGATGCTCTAACCACTACACCATGTGGCCACACCAGAGTAAGAGTTACAGATCTAAGCATTGTATAGACCAATTTACATGACAATTTTGAAAAAATATCCTCTGGTATCTGATTTTACATGTGACTCAGGGTAGCATTTTAGCCCACAAGCAATGGGCCCCCGTACCTAGATTCTGGTGAACGCTCCTATGGTTTCTCAGTTTTATTTCCTATTCTAACAGGTGGTGTGGTCCCTGTAAACTCCTTGGACCGAGGCTTGAAGCAATTATTTCCAGTAAAGGGGGACAGGTTGCATTGGCGAAAGTGGATGTGGATGAAAATGTTGAAATTGCCATGGAATATTTGGTAGGTGTTTATTTTGTTTCTCCCCAAGTGTAGATCTAATTGTTGCATTTTTTGTGTAGATCTCAGGAGTTGACAATTATTGGCATATATATATTATCTCAAAAAAAAAAATAATGGATTATTTACAAAGTTGATCTTATCAACCCTCCTTCTTGTAATGTTTATTATTTGATTATTTATTTACCAGTATTATAAGATAATTTGGCCATCTCATGCACAATGTATGTCATATATTTTCTTGAACATCTCTGTGGGTATAAGTGTAGAGCAAGAATTATATACTAGCTCAATGTCATGAGCTAGTATAAGATGGAATGGTTAAATCCACAGCCTTGAGTTCACTTTAATTTGACTTTTAGGGTGTTAAAAGTTTTCTTTGACACCTCAATTTCTTTGTAAGTCAGATTAAAACAATCTAAAGGTCTGTGGTTAAATCTCTTTGATGCATGAATTATAGAATAATAATTATATAGAGTGTATGTTAAATAGATAAGTTGTCAAAACAAACTTTATAAAGTGAATAAAACAGTAAATTTTCTCCACCTACAGGTTGAATCCTTGCCAACTGTAATTGGTTTCAAGAATGGAAGGAAAATGGATAAATTCATAGGACTGCAGGAAGATGATATAATCGATTCGTTTGTGGAAAAACTATTACACTAATCATTTTCATTCTAAAATGTCAATAATTTTAATACACTCAACAAACTGTTAACTGATTTTAAAGTTTAAAGCCTCTGTCATTGAGGGAATACAAGTGCCACGTGTATTTGAATTTCAAAAACTTGTTGAACTGGTAAAACATCGAACATTTTGTTCAATGTATGTTGAATTAAAAATTATTTCATTTATGAACTGAAGTCTAATTTCATCAGAATATTTGATTGCATAATAAAATAAGAATTCATACTTGTAGGTTGTATCTAAATTGTACAGTGAATCAAAGATATCTTAAGATACTTATGAATAAATATTTATTCAATTAAATCTATAGTTATATTCATGAATGTTTAAAAAATTCAAGTTTATTTTTGGTGTAACTTTCAATAAACATATATTGTACTAAAAAAGAATAACACTTAGCAAAATTGAACAGAGGTCCATGGGCCACATTACTCACCGGAGTAAATTTGGTCATACCGTTCTTCACCAAATCCCCCCCCCCCCTCCCATAATACCTGTTGTGACACACCCTATCCCTAGGGGTCTTGATTTGGATAATTAAGAATCTACACTATCCAAGGATGCTTCCACATAAGTTTCAGCTTTTCTGGTCCAGTGGTTCTTGAGAAGAAGATTTAAAGATTTTCCCCTATATATATTTCAATGTAAAACTTGGATTCCCAATTTAGAACTACACAACTTTGATAATCATGTGTATAGCTAGCTGCAGATCTGTAGCATTATGGTTTTATATATTTGTCTTTGACCATAACGCTACAGATCCCGTAATGAAAAAAATATTTTTTGCACACTTTAATTTGGGGAGAATTTCTCCCCTTTCTAGCATTGGTCAATCAACTACTTTTCACTTCCTAATTCTAGACACATTCTGTAGCCAATATTTATATTTTATCCACCTCCAAACCATTAATAGTTGTCTCTACAGGCAATAAACTTGCTTGAAGTGAATTTTCAGCAATCTAAATAATTTAAATCAAGCAAGTTTATCACTTGTATAGACGACTATAAAGGGTTGTTAGATGGATAAAATATACAGATTAGTTATTAAAATAATAAGGCTAGAATTACGGTAGTGAGTGAAAGGAAATTGATTGACCAATTCTGAAAAGTGGAGAAATTCTCCCAAAAAGTGCGCAAAAATTATTGCACCATAAATTGACTCCTTTTTGCATTACAGGATCTGTAGTGTTATGGTCAAAGACAAATATGCTACAGATCTGCAGCTAGTGTATAGCAAAGGGGAATAACTTTTCTTAATGCAGAGTAAATACATCTATCATACATGATCTTAAAAGAGCCCCATCCAAACTCAAGAACCCCTGTCACTATGTTGGAGCTCAAAGAGACACCCATAAATCTCCTATAATCTACACTTAGTTTCTCTACCTATTAATATCTTTCTTCAGAGAACAAAATTTTCAAAAATATAAATTATTTTCACAATTATGATCAATAAAGCAGGACTCTTCCTTATGAGTCATCTTCCCAGTGGCCATGCTTTCACAAATTTGTGGAATAGACACTTGCTCATCATAACCTTGTACATGTACTTATGGTATTTTGTCTGCTTAATGCCTGGAAGCAGTGAAGAAAATTTTAAAAGAATTAATGCATTTTCACTGAATGATCCCCAGATAATTAAAGAAGGGTGTTGTTAATTCCAGAATCCCCAACCAAGGGGAAATTTACAAAATAAGTGTAAGGTTAGGTTGAGCAATTAAAGAGTTTCTTCCAAAACTTTGTGAAATTATGGCTCCTTGGACAATGACTCTTTCAAAAGAAAAAGTATTGCTTTATCGAGGGGAAGGGGGGGGGGGGATTACTGGTAATGTATTTTCGTTGTATGAACGATAAATAAAAACTTGTGTACACATTCATTTTCCTTTTTTAATAAGTTTTTCTTAGAAATTAACGGTAAAATCACATTTTCATGGGGTAAAATTTTCGAGGTTTGAGAAAAACTGTTTAGTACGTCGAACACGGATATTGCATATTCATGGATAAAGCAAAGTGATCTTGGATCCACAGCTATATAAATTTAACAAGTTCCTTATATGGATGTAGCAAAGTAAATTTCACAGGTCCCAGCGACTTCGTTATAACCAAGTTTTACTGTATTGGTTTGATTTCTAGTAGGAGAAATGTTGAGTAGTAACGCATAGGAAATTTTAAATTTCAAGGTAGTCATGGATTCGATGCCTGTCTATACATCGAAAACAACGAAAATTAAAACCCCAATGAAAATTAGTGATTTCATGATACAGGTATGTGTTCTCTGAAAGACATCATGAGTACATGTGTACAGTTAAAGTCATTTAATACATACTCTGATACAGGAGGATCCCAAAGACTTTGCTATAGACCAGTTTAGCTGTGTTTTTAACTAGAATATAGCGGATGCCCTGGACCTAGTTTTACTGTAATTTGATGCTTTACAGTTTCCCAAAAATTTTTATTAACGTTTGTTTTTATCAAACACTACCATAATTCAGACATTCTTAAATTAGACTAAGTTACTTTTCAATTTTTTGAATTAACAAAGAATTTTCCTTTCAATTATATGCTTTCTCTTAAATGCCATTTCTTCCATGTACATCTACTTTGGAGAAAAAGTCTGAATGAAGCATGGAAATGTCAATACCACATATAAAATCACAATCAACCTTTAGGCTTAATGTTTGATTAGATAGGCAATGGGTGAAAAAATCTGGTCATTTAAAAGTGATATAAATAATTATAACAATATGAAAGTATCAGAACATGAATTGTGTGTGGATCTATCTTAAACACATAGACGCTCATAACAATTATCCTGTAAAGACAAAAAAAGAAAAAGAGCTTAAAAAACAAATAGATACAAAGAAATACTACTGGTATAAGTGCAAGATTACCAATTCCTGGTAAAAGTACCAAAAACATGAAAGAGTTTGAAAATTGACAACATACCGGTAATATTGGTGAAAAAAATACTGTATATCAAAAGAATTTATGGTCCATCAAAAACGGAATTTTATCATTATGCCACCTCTGAATCTTCTTTTGACACAGAAGTCTCTTCTCTTTTATTTTCAGAGGCCTCCTTTACTGATTCGGGGTCCACGGGTTTCAAAGTTCCCTCCTTATCCATCAGAGTGTCTCTGACTTTTGTCAGGATCTCCCCCAATAGGTTTTGTCCCCTCCAGGTTTGTTTATTCCATGCTCTTTCGTCATCCTTTGCTAATCCTATGCCCCAGATTTTATCCATAGGACTGGCTTCAACCAATGTTTTTGGATACGTTGAAAATAAAATGTCCTTAGATTTTTTATCCTGGGAAAACTGAAAGCAACAAATAAAATTAATATTTTAAATGAAGATACAAACCACCCTAGTATTACTATAAAATAACAGGGGGTTTTAAGAATATTATAAAAATATTATAAGCTTTTAGAAGTAATAAGAGGTACATTGCTAAAATGATATCAAATATTTCACCATTGAATGTTTTTGCCAAAACAATCATAAACTTCAAGTTATGTCAGATCAATGAAATATATGGAGATAACGAACAATATTCAAACTTAGAAGTCCATTAAACAATACAAAATAGAAGCAGAGCACACATGGACCTCCAAAACATCAGAGGAGGGATCAGATGCCATGGAGGAGTTAGCATACTCTGTCGACTGGTCACACATACTGTGTGCTATGATTCTTGAGATAATATATTTTCAAAAACACATACTTTTATATTGCATTACATTCTCTTAATCAAACACCAATACAAACTAGAGGTACTGTGAGCAATGAGCTCACTAAATGATATCCCCACCTCCCATATGAATATAATGGCAGTGTCCATGTTTTGCTATGGGAAACCCAAAATATGTGTTGGATCAAAAAGTAATATAGAAGGTGCACAATGGCAATATGTGATAGAGATTCTTTGAAAGTTTCATTAAATTTCACTCAGTGGTATGAGAGGAGTTGCAGATAAGATCTGATGGGTACCCCAAAGCATAACAGACTGAATAATAGACGGACGGACGTCATAGGGACGAACATCCTGATTAATATATACCCTCCCGTTTTTCAAGGGGGGGAGGGGGTAATAACAAAATACCTTTGCCATATTTCCTTTTTCAACAATATTTCTACAATTCTTGTCCCACAGTTCTTGATTAAAGTTCTCCACATATCTTCCTCGTTGTTTCATTTCACGAGGTTCATCTAATGCCAAAATAATTTGTGCACTTTCATGATCTTTCATCAGTACTAGAAAAAGAATAAGAAAAATGCTTGAAACAATGACAAGGCAACTATAAAACTACTTCCCTCTTTTGAGTGTATCAAAAATAGTGAGTACTTTATATCTAGTTTGAAACTGTAACCACTGATAAAAACATTGAAGAGGAATAGGTAATTGATATAACATGTACTACATGTAAATTATATAACCTTCAAAACTTTTTAAAAACCAATGAGGAATCGATAAAATCTAGCACGGTGACTTTTTTTAATGAAATTTTAAACAATAGAATGCTTTCTTTGCTTGTTAGAATGAGAATTAATGTCACAGCTGTTGCAGAAAAAAATTACATGACCCCTTACATGATTTTTCAAATAATATGCAATATTCTCTCTAAGAATCGAAATAAAAGGAGATTCCTTTGGGGTTCCTCTCCTAAATCATGAGTTTAGGAGAAATACCAAAATAACCAGGGGATTGCAACATTATAGACGGGAAAATTCCCCAGCCCCCAGGTCCTAGCGACAACCCTGCATGAATATGTAGTTGATATATACCGGTACCTGCTTTCTGATGCATCATGTATTGTTCAGCACAGTTATACTTTATTCCATCAACTTCGAAATCTTTCATATACCACTGACTAAAGACAGAGTGACTCTTCCAGAAGTATTCATATTGTTCCCTCTCATCCGGTAACTCTGAGTTCTTATTCCACGCTCTCCCACCCTTATTCTTCTCCTTCGATTTCCCCTTGCTTCCTTTCTGGTCATTTTCCTCCCCTCCACTATCTCCATTCCAATTATTTTTCCTATTCTTCTTTTCCCTGGTTGGTCTCTCATCACCAGTTCCACCGTATGGTCTTTGTATCCCTGGTTTCTTATTCCTGTTTTTTGGCCGGCAGCCTTGATTTTCATTACTTCTTTGCCTATTTCCTTGGTCTGTGTTTTCTCCCGAGTGACCTTTTCCCCTGTGCCTGTATTCTCCCTGATAATCATAATTTTCCTCTTCCTCTGTTGAACTTTTTGGATGTTTTCCCCCCATGGCTCTTGGTTCGTCTGAATGGTCCTCCTTATTTTCTGCTCTTGGTCCTGTTGTTTCTTCCCCCTGTTCCTCACTTTCCTGAAGATGATCCGAGTTTCCTGTTGATCCAAATTCTACAGTTTCCTGATTATCGTTATCACTATGACAGTTTTCTGATGTGTTGGCCTCTATACTTGGTTCTTGCTCCACTGCAGACTCAAATACCTTTTCTGTTTTCTCTTCAACTAAATCACTGGTTGCATTCTCAGGCTCGGTTTGGGCAGGCTCTGGTGAGTTTATGAGTTTTTCTGTTTCTGCATCATTTACATCAAGATTTTTCACTGCTTCTGTCACTTGATCTTGTGAGTCTTTTTCTGCCATACCTGGAAAAAATTAATTCCATTATGCTTATGTTCATTTTCTTACAAACTGCTCAAAATTTGCCATTATTTTTATGTTCATATACTGGTATCGGTATCTGCATGATCTTTAGATTGAGATATTATACTATATAGCATGTCTGTAATGTTATCTGTGTGGTCACTGTGTGTGTTAATTTCTATGACATTCAGCACCTCCATGTGTGATAAATTAAGCACATACACTGTGTAATACTGCTTACTGGAAATATTCCTATTGCTCCATCATATTGTTTATATTGTCATCCGAAACTGAATGTTTTAAATAATTATGATATGCAGAATATGTTAACAAATAACACCATTTACTTATTTTACATTTCTGTGCAAGTATCAGAAGCAATTAATGTTGTTTTCTTCAATTAACACGATGTAGAGAAACCGAAAGTAACTTAGTACTTTCCGCGAAAGTACACAACAGTTGTTTAATTCTTAGTTTTTACTATATTAATTCCACCATAATATCATTGTTTTTTTTACTTCGTTAAAAATGATATAATTAATCAGACAGTTTCTACTTTTTCAAATTGTTTAGTTAGAATAATCTGTGTCTCGGTAGCCCTCAATTTATACTCGCAATGTTGCAAAAAATTGCAGAATCGCACCGAAACGATTTTGAAATATAAAATGATTTGCACTAATTAAAATAATCAAAACAAACCTGGTAAAAAAAATAGAAAATCCAATTAATTTTCTAACACCCTGCCATGTTTACATTCCTCTCTAGATTGTTCTTACCTTCCCTTACGTACTACTTTCGTTTTGATCTCCTGGACTTTCGTTTTGATCTCCTGGAAACCCCCACATTCAAAAGAACATGGAGAAGGCGGCGCGATATTGTTCTCTTCACTGGTATGTAACAGTTGTATTTTTTTAAAATATAGGCCTACTAAATGAATGACTTTAACAAAAACGAAACATGACAGGTGAAAATTTAAAAAAGACAATCCTATATGCCCATGTTATTGATTTAATGATTTAGCCATTTTGGCTGAGGACGTAATTTAAAAATGATTAAATCTAATGGTACATCTATATTTAACAATGCATACCTTTAGTCTTACTTTTGCTTAGGCTCTTTGATTTCAGTTTTATTCTACGCCAAGTTTTATGTGTAACTAAGCTTACAGTCGAAAAGCATATTAAAATTAAGTTCTTGTTTACACATTGTTGTGAAATAATTTTAAGGTTTGACTAAAATCAGTAGAAATCCAGTTGATATGGATTGGGATTTAAATTTTGTGCATGTGTTAAATATAGAAAGAAAACATTAAAATTAATTAGATAATTAAATTTTGTGACTGTATTCTAAAAAAGGAAAATGATAAGTAGTAAATATTATAATGTAATTTTTTGCCGTCTTTTGAAAAAGGGAGGGCATAGTGCTTTGCTGTCTGTTGGTTCGGTTAGTCGGTGTGTCTGTCGGCCCAGTGGCCACCATCAGTTTTTGTTCATTTTCTTCACAGAAATTGCACATATTGAAATGAAATTTGGTATAGATTTATCATAAGAATATCTAGGCCAAATTGTATATTGGGTATGATCGGGCCATTTTTGACAGTTATGCCCCTTGGACTTAGGAAAATTACAATTATTTGCAGTATATGTTCATTTTCTTTGCAGGGGTTGCACATACTGAAATGGAATATGATATAAAGATTTATCATAAGGATATCTAGATCAAGTTCTGTACAATAAAGCCATTTACTGGCATTTAGGACAGATCGAGTTATGTCCCAGAAAAATTCCAATGAATTGCAGTTTCTATTAATTTTCTTTGCAGAGGTTGCTTATATTGAAATGACATTTCTTATACAGATTTATCATAAGAATATCTAGGTCAAGTTCTATTTTGGCATCTTCACTAGCCAAGAGTTTACAAAGATGTGTTTTGGGTACAATCGGACCATTTTGGATAGAGTTATCCCCTTATCCCCTTGGACTTAGATAAATTCCAATCATTTTGAAGGTGGCAAAAGTGTTTTTACTAATTACAACATCTTTGTTAAAAATAAATTACAATAAGTATGCTTGTTCGACAATCACACAGGTTTGATCCCTGGTGGCCAGAAAGCTTAGTTAGTAGAGCACCTGGCTTAATATTCAGTGGGCCCAGTCTGGTTCACTGCATTTTTCTCCTCTCTCATTCTATTACATTTGGCACAATGCCCTGTCCTGAAAATGACAGGTGGCATGTGGTACCTGGTAATCTCATTGGAGATTCAGCCAGCTATAGGTATTTGGTCGCTGAAGGGGTCAGAACAAATATTTAGCCGAGCCGTCTCTCCACCGCGATTAGACAGGTTGAAGACCAGCCAGGGAAAAGTTTTGGTTGGTGTCTTCAGGGGTGTAAGACCTTTCAGGAGAGAGGAATAAGGCAGTCAGATGAGTTCATTTACTGTTGGCCAGATATATGTACCTTAGCTGGTAAAGCACCTGACTAGATTTTTAGGGAGCATGGGTTTGAATCATGGTCATGGCAAAGCCCATTACGCATAAATTATCCCACATTTCCAACTATTGCTGATGCCCCTGGTATACTCTACTAACTAGACAGTGATTCCTTGTATTTCCATTTCATTGGGAAATAAAATTGTAAACTTAGATCATAAAAATGTAGACAAATAGATTTAATTACTCGAGGCCCCCAAAGTAATTTTCAATTGTCCGTGCCCACTGACATCAGACACAAAGATAGATGCACAAGATTTACCGGTACATGATCAGTAGGCAACCTTAGCTCCTGACCTATCACTTTGCAAAATTTACATTCCAGTAGAATGATCAAGAAATCAACTCAACTAACTTTCAAAGAGTTATCACAGAGGATACAAATGGAAATATTTATATGTACAATTAATGCTATTGACAACAATTAAGTCTGATAAACTGGTAAACTGTTTAAATATCAAACACAAAGTAGATAACAAAAGTATGTAAAAATAAAATTTGATGAATTATCTAAATTGTTTATCAACTATGTTTTGCAGTATATGTGCTATCAATCATTATACACGAAAATTATTATGCGAGTACTTGTTCACCACTTTGATGCACTGTCGCAACACAGCACTTTGCAAAATACTGAATGTTTTTTTCTTTTATCAAATGCTTTCATTAAAAGAAATTTCTTTTCTAGATTGCTGGGTGTGCTCCATTTAGTTTGTAAAGATGAAAAGATCAGGAGGTGAAACATTGAGTGATGATTGCAAGCAGGCAAAAGTGATGAAATCTGATGAATCAATAAATACTGCAGAAAACATCAGTACCAGCATATTACCCTCCAAGACAAAAGAACTTGACCAGTTAAAGGAGGAAACTGTTCCTCCCAAAGGTCTTACAGAAAATGAACAACAGCATTCTGATGGAAGCTCTGAAAAAGCTGAATGTTCTGACATCAAAACCAGCATGCCTAAAGAAAATATACATTCTGACAAGAGTGACGACATTTCTGTAAAAAAAGGTGATATTTCAAGAAAACGATTGTTGGAGAAATATGAGAGCTCTGATAAAACTGATGTTGTGAAGGATTCCTCAGATGATGTCCACAGTGATAGGGAAGGGTCGAGTACAAAAATGAAAGAGGGATCTAGTCCGAAGAAGCGGGCATGGAGGTCTGATCAAAGTCATGAGAACACATCTAATAAAAATGATAGTTCAGATAAATATTTAACTAAGGGAAAGAAAATTTCTAGTGATGATGGTAAGAGGCATTATTTAGAAGAAGAAAAAAATGCTGCTGCTGATGACAAACCCAATATGTCTGCCTCCAAAGATGGAGAGTCAGGTTCCAGTCAAGAAATCAAGAAGAAAATCTCTACTTCTGATAAATCAGAAAACTCCAGCCATAAACAAGGCAAGGATGGTCAGAACTCTTCTGCACAGAATAATGAAAGGTCAGGCGCCAGAAGAGAAGAAAGGCAAAAATCTTCTCCTCACAAAGGCAAATCTTCAGAATCCAAACAAGACAGAGATAAATCATCAGACTCCAAACGAGATAGAGATAAATCGTCAGACTCCAAACAAGATAGAGATAAATCGTCAGACTCCAAACAAGATAGAGATAAATCGTCAGACTCCAAACGAGATAGAGATAAATCGTCAGTCTCCAAACGAGATAGAGATAAATCGTCAGACTCCAAACGAAATAGAGATAAATCGTCAGACTCCAAACGAGATAGAGATAAATCGTCAGACTCCAAACGAGATAGAGATAAATCGTCAGTCTCCAAACAAGACAGAGATAAATCGTCAGACTCCAAACGAGACTTAGGTAAATCTTCAAAATCTAGGGAGAATAAAGATATACGACACTTTCTTGAAAATTCCAGTTCCAGACCTAAAAAAGATGAGCAAACTGATTCAAACCCAGATTACCCTTCAAGTTCCCAAAAAGTTAAAAGTCCAAGGAAAGAATCTCGATTTAATTCTGTTGATTTGAAAGCACGGTTAAATTTACAAGACAGTATTAATTTGTTGAACCAAAACCCCTCAAAGGACAGAGAAGAGCACTTCCATTTCTTCTTTGGAAAGGATTCACCATTCAGTAACTTTCACCCAGCTAGATTTGACCTTGATGGAGTCACCTATAGCTGCAGTGAGCAATACATGATGCATCAAAAAGCAGGTTTGTTGAAAATTTCTGTTGACATTAATAATGTGAAGACCAAGAGCAAAGTAAATTCATGCCTCATAGTGGACATTTGTGATTCTTTTAGATTACTTTGATTCTTAGCAAGTGAAATTGTCAACATTTTTTTTTCAAACTTAATTTTTATACTTTAATGTCAGCAATGGGCTTTTAGGGTAAATTGAACTTCTATAACAATAAAATACTATTTGGATATAATTATATGTATGAAAGCCTTTGCAGGTGGTGTGCAATTAAGTTCGTTCAATTCATGACCCCGGGGTAGGGTGGGGCCACAATGGATGGTCAAAGTTTTACATGGGAATATACAGGAAAAATCTTCAAAAATCTTCTTCTCAAGAACAGCATAGCCATGATTGGTCATATTTTATATGGAAGCATCCGCAGGTGGTGTTGATTCAAGATTGTTCAAATCATGACCCCGTTAGGTAGGGTTGGGCCAAAATGAAAGTTCAAACTTGTAGGACAAAAGACAGTCAAAAAAAAGTATGTATGCATCTTTAGTTAGAGTACATTCAATTTTGTTCAAATCATGACCCCCTCTCCCTTTTAGGGGAAAACCATGACCACTTATTCATTTAAGCTTTTTAAAATAGAACTGATTTTAGCTTTTTTCCTAGCCAGTCCTCAGGTGACTGATGTGGCTCATGGGCCTCTTGTCTTTTATTTTTGTAAGCAATCTATCTTGATGAGCAACTCGGTTTAATACATGTACACATGTATTTGTAAAAGGGAGATTAATCTTAATACTTTTTATACTCCTTTGACATTTCTTCGTGTACTTCTTTCTGTTACAGTGATATTTCAAGACCCATATCATCGCAATGAAATAATGAAAGCAACAGATCCAGTAAAAATGAAGAAATTAGGAAGAAAAGTGGAAAACTTTGATGCCAATCATTGGGCTCAAGTCAGTGAAAAGGTTGTGAAGAAGGGGGTTATGGCTAAGGTAATGATTTCTCCAATTTTTCTTAATTTATGTCAAATATGTTCAGGTTTGATCAAGTTGAATGTAAAATAAACTGACATTGTCAAAAATTTCTGTTGATGAATATGTATCCAAGTTTCTAGCTCCTTTTAAATTTAGAATGATTTTTTGACTTTTAGTTAATTTTTCCCCCCATATTTGTAGTTCAAACAGAATAAAAATCTATTGGGAGCATTGATTGCAACATTTCCCAGGATTCTTGTGGAAGCTGCACCGCGTGATCGATTGTGGGGAATCGGCCTCGGTGCCAAAAACCCAAAAGCTCACTGCCGAAAAACCTGGAGAGGAAGGAACAAACTTGGTTACTTACTTACAAAAATGAGGAATGAAATCATGATGAGTGAGGGATATTTTTCTTGACATTTATGGTATAGCAAAGTTGAATAAAATTGTATGTTTTCAAGCTGTTATGTAAGGTAAACTCAGAATGTAGTACTTGTAGATGTGTAGGTTCACAAAATTTTACTTTTTTATGGTGCCACATCAGGATGTGTGTGCCTCTTTTTCTTGACATTTTCACTGTAGCAACATTGAAGATTTCATGTGTTCTGTTTGTTATCTAAAGTAAAAGCATAGCATAATTCTTACATATGTGCTAGCTTCACAATCAATTTTTATCAAAGTGCTGCAAAAGGCTGTCCATGCCTTTTAATAATCACTTGGTGTGTCTGTCTGTTGTCAACACATTTATATGGACAATAATATTGTTATCTTTCAACCCATAGACAATGATCATATGTAATGCTTAGTTTATGAATTGTTTAAAGGAAAACGCCTACTGGTTTTGTAGGTCACTTGGTAAAATGTCAAGGTCAGAATTCTAGTTCTTAAAATATTTTCATAATGCATTTAAATGATGCAATTGTTAATGTTTTTCCTATTTTACAAACAACACTAATACTAGAGGTAGAGAATGGTTGAAAGAGGACATTCTATTTGTTAAAATATTTTCATAATACATGTATATTTAAATGATGCAATATTTAATGTTTTTCTTTAATATCTTTCCAACACTAACACTATAGGAAGAGAATGGATGAAAGAAGACATCAAAAGTTTTTGTGTTACTGAAATAAAGGTCAAATTCAAAAGAATATCACTATGACCATTTAATGCAATAAACATTTTTTGAATCCTTAAGTATATTTGTGAAGAATAACTAAAGGAAAAGATCCACAAATTTGGGGAGCACAATTACTTTGACATTTTTATCTGAAGACTTCATATGTATTGGTATATACAGAATAGTTAAAGAAAGGGTTCTATTAGGTTTTTGATAACTTTATAAAGATTGGAATTATTGTTCTGTATGTATAAATGGTTATTCTGTTGTACAAATAACATAAACATGTAACATCTTATTTACTACACAATTGAAAGAGACCCATATATGTTCTGGGGTCATTTGAAAGGTCAATGTTTAAATTATTGATATGATTATTTACTACACAATTGAAATTTTGAGATCTTTTGAAAGGTCAACATTTATGTAAATGTACGTACTATGAGAAATCCATTATGACTTTGTCAATTTTTTTCTGCCTTATGTATTTAAGCAGTATACTGGTGAAGATTACACAACTGGTGCAATGATTGTTTACACTTGTGCATTGATTCTGTACTCTTGTTTTTTTCTCATTAAATATGTGTTTTTGATGGTTGTTTTGTATAGATCATTCCTTATGGTGCATCAAAATTTTGTGATTTTTTTTTTCGTAGCAAATCACACAATAAAGTATATAATGACCAAGGTTTCATGTTTTTTTTTTCTGAGCAGATGTATCACTGTTCCAGGAAGAGGGTATCTAAAAATGACATTTTGAGATTGGTTTTGCCATTCAAAGGGTCTACAGTAAAACTTGTTTAGTATGAACACAGATAAAGCGAATTCACGGATATAGCGATTTTTATTTTATTTTTTTATTTGTATTATTATTATTTTTTAATCCCTGGCAAATTTCTTAACAAATCCAAGAAAAATATTGCGGTCATAATGAACTTTGATATATGATTTACATATATAGTAAACTGATTTTCTGTATTGTAGAGTTTAAAGATATAGATTATTTAATTGTCACTTAATCATGTAAACATTCCTTCAGTAAAAACTCGGTTTTAGCGAAGTCGTTAAAGTATATAAAAGGAACAAGCAATTTGCATATGACTACCAAATATGTTCTGGGAGGTATTCAATACAAAATATTACATGGGGTACTAATTATTTCTCGGGTTTTTTTAAAGATACATTGAGGCAGCAGGCTAGTAATTCATGTTTTCATGTTTTCATGTCTTGTTGACAGTTCCATTACAAATGGAAAAGTATAGAACACAAATGGACAAGATTGAATATTGCAAATTTGACAAGCCATGCCAAAGAAATATACATCTTGTATTGTCAATCATCTTAGTTTATGTTAATTATGCACCTCATCAGAGCGAGACTTCCTATTATGAATTTATTTATAGCTCTGAATATTGAGGAAAATGACAAATAAAAACGCTTTTCTACAGAAAAAGAATTATTCAAAAGAAGTATTCAAACTTGTTTTGTGTGTGTGAGGGTGTGTGTGTATGTGTGTGTGTGTGTGTAAAATTCAATCTCTTAGCTATAATTCTATTTTGCAACAGATTACTGGTATTCAGGAATCCCCCTCCCCATTAAAACTCCGAGGCTATTTTTGAATAACTATACACATTCCATTTATTGCCACAAATAAAAATGTTAGGAAATATATACCAAAGTTTCCTAATCACTATCCTTACATTTGATAATACACAGGAATCGGTGTCAATCTGTACCGTGTTCTTGCTTGCACTGTTGCAAATTTTGACCAAAAACTTGATAAAGTTTCAGACATTGAATATCATATATTTTAGTTCACATTTTGTACTATAAAATAATTGATTTATAATGGTCTTAGTTATTTCAAATAATCAGAAGAAATCGTCGGACACTTGCAATAATAAGAAAATCATTCCCTGACCCCCCCCCCTTTTTTTTTGTTGTCCGAAGAAATTAAGATACAAGTAAGTCAGCATCTGCAATCAGAATTAGTGTATAAATATCATAATATAATAGAATCATATATTTTAACTCGCTGTATTTTTTTCCCTTCATATCTAAAAAATTTACAATGTATACGAAAATAACTATATTGAAATTTCTACCAACAAAAGTAGCTCAGGCACCTGACTGTAGATCATGATATGGACCCCCCATACTCTCATGCGCCAACACATTATGAGAATTTTCATATCTAAGATAACTTTTAGAACTACAAATTCAGCAGGCTAACATATAACTGAAAGAAATCTCCATGCATTTTTTTTTTAGTTCTATAAGTGGCGGTGGTGGTCGGGAGGGGGTCCATTTCTTACCACCTTCGAAGCCTCTTACCGTCATTCCTTATACCTTGTTCTAGAAGAAAATGTCGGTAACTGAGTGAACCCGACGACTCAGGCAGAATTGACACCTTTGTGAACGACTCAGTGTGAGTATACCCCCCCCTTTCTTCATTAAATTGGCACTAATGAGCGGCATAATCTGTAATAAACATACCATAACTTTGACATTTTTATATTGCTTAATATTAAAAGTGATTATTGATAAACAATTATTCGCTGTATGTCTGAATTGTATTCTAACTTTTAAAAAAATTCTTGAAAATTGTTCATATGGTACGCAATAACTTTGTTCATAATAAATTCCAGGTAGTTTTCACAACCAGACAGGTAGGAAAAAAATTACCATAAACATCAGAAATACACAATATACAAAAATTGTAATCTGTATGAATGTAGTCTGATCATCTAGTTCTAAAAAATAATAAGCTAAATATTTGAAAATTCTAACCAAAATGTCTCTCAGTTCATAAAGTCATACATGCATGTGCATTAACCCATTGCGTTTCTCATTATCATGATTATCCGAGTTAGTAGGGAAAAGTCTCTGAAAATCTATTTTTAGGAAACCTGAATTAGAAGCAACAGCTGTGCATTTTCTAACTGACTTTTTCTCAACAAATATATTTTTTTTATTTAAAAAAAATCAGACATTTTGTGAAAATTGTATTTAATAATTACGATTTTGGTACTTTAGTTCATCTATTTCCTTTAATTTCATGTTGTAATTTTTTTTTAACTTATGCGGTACAAAGGTAATCTTTTTCCAATATGTTTTTTAGCCTTGAAAAATAATGTATTAACCAAATTTAGATGCAGGAAATGGTTCTGAGTGTCATCGTTTAAGTAATTAAATTTAAAAAAGCTTTCCCTCTTGAAAAGTTCTGAACATATAGGGAAAGAGAGATAACTCTTTTAAAAAAATATTTGCGTTCAAGGGCATCAAAACGTTTGAATATCCTGCGCATGCGTACATCTGGTTTGAAATTCGTAAACGGATTGATGAATTAATGACATGTGAACCGAGGAAAGAGTAAAAGTTGTCGTACTTCTGTGAAATATATGTACAATTAACAGATAGTGTTAAATTTATAGAAGAATCATGGATATGGGAAGCCTTAAAGTTGGTGTCAATGTTGACATCCAACGAACTGACGGTAAGATTTCGTCTCGTCGGTCCCGTTGCTAACTCGTTTGAAAACAGGGGCAGACGAAATGAAAAAGGGTTCATTACAAGTTTGCATGACTAATTTCGTTGGAATTTAATAAAAGTTAATTGGGTTAGTGTAATCATTTCAAGGGTGGTTGAAAAGATGTATTTATTGCCAAAATAAAGAAATACAAATGTTCTAAATTTTGAATTTAAAGTTTGACTTTCAAAATTAAATGCATTACTTACCTGTTATTTATTCCTCGAGGATAAGATAAATAGCGCTGTAATTTAAAATTTCCTGAAATCATTTTATAAATAACAATCTAATCAACAACAGTGAAAAGATTTAAATTGAAACTTTTCTTGTTATTGTTAAACTCAACAGCATATTGTCAAAGATGTGTGGGTTAGTTGCACTATAAAAGATAGTGTAGATGTGTTTGTTTATCTTGTGGTTAAAAAAATTCTTTCATCTAAAAGTTTTATGTAACGAGAATTGTTGGATCAGCAGAGCCTTCGTTCATCTCTTTTAAATCAGATAGTGCATTTTTGTATTCAGAAAATACGAAATGTCTTGATACGAGTGCAGGAGAAGTAACAGTGGATTGGTATACAATACACTATGTATTCCTTGACAGTCTTTTAAGCATATTTTGTATATATTGATTAATTCAGTGGTGGTGCCAAAAAGAATCTAGTTTTGAATTATCTAGTTCACACACACTTACTTGTGGAAATATTCTGCGGAGTGATGTCTGATTTGACTTTTATTTCAAAAGGTGAAATAATTTTTTTAAAATTTTGGTATCAGATCCAAAAACTATTTGAAATTGCTCAGAACAAAACATGAACATAGTGATTTTCTGTGGAAATATATTTAGTTATTCAATCTGCGATAGTGAGATGAAGCCAAGCCATGTATGAAAATTATCAACCCAATATATTTCCATAAACAGTCATTAACAAACCTATTAAATGATTGATTTTCTTGAAGGTCTTATATGAGAGACATATAAATTAATCCCAGTATAGAAATGGTTAGGTGTTGGTCATGTTGCCGGATATAAATCTCACCTGCAGGACACAGAAATGTAGCTAGCAGTCACATTTTAAAACCAATAAAAGTGCAATATTTCAGTCCGGTCAGAATTTACAATTGATTTCACGCTATTTGTGGTGCTGATATTTTGATTTTAAATTGTAGGTCGCATACATTCTGCTGTTATAAGTGGTCTAAATCCAGAGGCAAAGAGTGTGACAGTGGAATGGTTCGAGAAAGGTGAAACTAAAGGGAAAGAGGTATGGACACAAACATTTTTATTTAAGAATAAGTTGATTAAACTAAAAAAAAATCAATACACATTTGAGAAAAAAGCAATTATATTTTTAACACTAAGGAATTTTGTGAAAAATATGACAGTTTTAATGATGAATTTTTCTGAAAACTGTAAATGCAACAATGCAAAAAATATATATTTTATTAATAGAAAGAGGATATCTATCTATCTATTTGACTTATTTTATTAATGCAAAATTCTAATGCATTTTATTCTACAATATGATGCATCAAACACTGTTAGAAACAATTTTCACTATATTTTTTTTTAGATTGAAATAGAGGCCATCTTTTCTTTGAATCCTGACTTAGCCCCTGCTCAGCCCCCTCCCAGTAATAGAGATATACAGTCTTCAAAGGTTTGTAGATTTTGTAGTTTGGGGTATTTTTATAGATAAAGTTTATTCCATGGTAGCTTTCTTGCAAGTTTCTATGCATTTTGTGAGAACAAAAGTGATGAATTATGCATTAGAAATTAAAACGTGTTGATTTTTTTTTTTAGAGTAGTAGAATTCCAAATGCTGGAGATGGCCCTAAAGCTGTCCGAAAAGGTAATATAAAGAAATAGTTCATGCAGAATGTAAGATAATTTTTTTCTTAATTTTTGAAGTCAGTACTGACTAATTTGTATTCTTAAAAAATTTTTACAAGTCCCCAAATTCTTCCTTGAAAACAAATTCTTGCTGTTTTTTTGTTTTTTTTTTTAAAGCTTTTATCATTATGTAACCAAAGGTATTTTCAGTGAAGATTTTATTTTATTTGTAATGTTATTGAAATGAATTCTTACTGTTGACCCTCACAAAGGAAGATCTCTATGTATTACAGCACCGTCCTCCGCCAAATCACGACAGAGTTATGCAGCTAATTCTAGAGCATCAGTGCCAACCCAGAATGGCCACGCTGAACCCAAAAATGATCCAAAAGCACCCGCAGGAGGTATATTAATCTGATGAGCATCAATATATTTTTCATTGATTCAATGTTGAAGTAAAATTTCCTGGAAGAGAGTAAAAAATGGATTTATTGTTAAGCTGTCAATTATATTGACACAGTTATGTGTTGAGAGGGCTTTCTACTGAGTGTAGATTTATGGCTTTTCATACCTTGTAAAACTTTTGTCTCAAATTTGCAATATGAAAAAAAAACACATATGTAAATTTGTCTGCTTGCTGTGTTTTATATGATCACACATTTTGTCCAGCATGTAATTTATAATACCTGTACTTCATCCAAATGAGTTCTCTGAAACTTCCCTTATTAATTGTACATGAACATTATAAAGCATTTATTTTTAGAAATTCCAAAAGGTACTTTTCTTATTTGGGAATGGGGGGCTTTCATTGGCCACCATTAAAGACATTGAAGAGCCCCTAGTACTATGAAGTTTTTTTTTTCTTATTTTAGCTCGCAGAAAATCCAACTGTGTTAAAGAAGTTGAAAAAATTCAACAAAAGCGAGATGAGAGGAGGGCCAAACACTTAGCAATCAAAGAACAGAATGAGTCCAATTTTGATACGTCAGATCCAAACTGGGAGTTCCAGGCCATGATAAAGTGAGTGATCTACCTCTTTTCAGAATTTTCTCCACCCCCACCCCCCATCAGTGCACACACTGACACATATTCACTTTTACACAAATAGAAATTAAAGGGGACTTACTGAATTGATGTTACATGTCTTAGTGCTTCTTTTGAAGAGGTATATTAACTCACTTTCATTAGATTATGTCTCTCTGACCCAAGAACATTAAATCACTTTGCATTCTATTTCATAGTAATAGATCAGTACAGTAGTAGAAATATTCAAATGCAGTCAAAAAAGAAAAGAAAAGAAATACGGAGAAAAAGTTTTTATCTTCTAAAAAGGAAATTGAAGAAAGATGGAGACATTTTACAGACTTTGAAAAATGAGTATATTTTGCTACAATGAACAAAACTGGTGATAGAAATCAATTGAAATGTTGATTAGGTTTGGATAAGTTTACATTAAATGATTGGAAATAGAGCAAGGTATGGTAGGATCAATTATTAATGGATTATTGATTGGATGAGGTGCCGTCATTGGTTCCTTAATCAATATATGTAACATGTAGCTCACTATATGATATGAACTATCTTATATTGCTGATCTTTTGCTAGGTAAGGCTTTTTCGTGGTTAATTTCATCTCGGTGATGACAATAAAATTTTGTTTTAAGAAACAAGAAGTTAAAACTGAGTCTGTTTGATTAGGCAACAGTTTAATTTTTAGCTCTACTGGTCAAAATTAATTTCATAAGAGCTTATGCGATAGTAATGCGTCCGGCGTCCGTCCGTCTGTCCGTCTGTCTGTGTTTCTGTCTGTAAACAATTTTTCAAAATGCTACTCCTCCTACAGTTTTGATCTGATTTCAATATAACTTGGCATATAAGTAGACTACACTAAGATACATCATTCTGTGTATCGGTTTTTGATTTCGACGAACGGTGTTGGCGTTGTTACTAAAAATAGAAATTTCTGTGAAATTCTTTCAAAATGCTACTCCTCCTACAGTTTTGGTCTGATTTCAATATAACTTGGCACACAAGTAGACTACACTAAGATACATAATTCTGTATATCGGTTTTTGATTTCGATGAACAGTGTTGGCGTTGTTACTAAAAATAGAAATTTCTGTAAAATTCATTCAAAATGCTACTCCTCCTACAGTTTTGATCTGATTTCAATATAACTTGGCATATAAGTAGACTACACTAAGATACATCATTCTGTGTATCGGTTTTTGATTTTGACGAACGGTGTTGGCGTTGTTACTAAAAATAGAAATTTCTGTGAAATTCTTTCAAAATGCTACTCCTCCTACAGTTTTGATCTGATTTCAATATATCTTGGCACACAAGTAGACTACACTAAGATACATCATTCTGTATATCGGTTTTTGATTTCGACGAACGGTGTTGGCGTTGTTACTAAAAATAGAAATTTCTGTGAAATTCTTTCAAAATGCTACTCCTCCTACAGTTTTGGTCTGATTTCAATATAAATTGGCACACAAGTAGACTACACTAAGATACATAATTCTGTGTATCGGTTTTTGATTTCGATGAACAGTGTTGGCGTTGTTACTAAAAATAGAAATTTCTGTAAAATTCATTCAAAATGCTACTCCTCCTACAGTTTTGATCTGATTTCAATATAACTTGGCATATAAGTAGACTACACTAAGATACATCATTCTGTGTATCGGTTAGTTGAACTTTGACGAAAACGGTGTTCGCGTTGTTACTAAAAATAGAAATTTCTGTGAAATTCTTTCAAAATGCTACTCCTCCTACAGTTTTGATCTGATTTCAATATAACTTGGCACACAAGTAGACTACACTAAGATACATAATTCTGTGTATCGGTTTTTGACTTCAATGAACATTATTACCTTGGTTAATAAAGATAGCAATTTCTGTTACTTTCAAAATGCTACTTCAAATACAGTTTTAGTCTGATTATAATATAATGTGGCATGCAAGATACTAAACTAAGAACATAAAGAGACTTATTCAAGGATCATTATTCTCCTTTTTGCTAGTGTAAATTTTCAATTCCCAACTGCTTAAGTACTTTCCTCTTCCTTTGCCATAAGTACAACCAGTAGAGCTTCAGTCTCGACAGAGACTTCTGGTTTTAAAAAGGGGGTCATTTTATTGAACAAAATTAATTTCATAGATAATTAAATATTCATTTAATTAGAATTTCAAGTTTCCAAGTGAAGCTTTTTACATGATATCATCTTGTATGAAGGGGTGGGGTTACATGTGTGTGTTTCTGGATGATAAAAATTAGGTTTGAAGTGATATGCTTTATCATTTTTCTTTTCAGTGTTTACTGGTAAATTGAGTTTTACTCATTTTCATTGCTTTATGGAAAATGTTAATATTCTGCATCTGTGATCTTAACATGAAATTGTAGTATTTAAAAAAAAAATCCTTACTTAAAAAAAGGAGGATATTTTTTAAAAATATTTTCATGCAGTTAATATACAGTTGAACTTCGTTATCTTGAACTCTGATATCTCAAATACCATGGATATATCAAAGTGATTTGGAAGTCCCAATCACATATTCTTTAAGTATTTTACTTCGATATCTCAAATCCTCTGATATCTCGAAGTTTTTTCTCAGTCCCATCAGGTTCGAGAGAGCGAAGTTTGACTGTATTTAACTTTTACATCATTTCATTCACTTGTATAGGTAAGATGAAGGTGTATTTTCTGTGTTTACATTTGACAGCGTTTGTTGTTTATTTTCCAGAGAATACAGAGCTGGTCTGGAATTTCGGCCACTGACTTCCTCCGATCCCATTGTCAATCATCAAATCTGTGTCTGTGTTAGGAAACGCCCACTGAACAAAAAAGGTAATTTACACCTTCAAATGGAGAGCAAATCTGTGTGCAGTGGATTTCACGGATAATTTTGTGTCAAATGTTACTCCTGGTTTCATCCATACATGTAGTATAATACATGCTTGAAATAATATAATGGTTTTTAAATTTTTTTCCATAAATAAAAAGTGTATTTTTATTATATTTTTATGTTAATAATGTAGGGGGTGGGGGGTTTAATATATAGTTTCTAAATTTAAATTTTTTCTAACATTCAGAAGTTACAAAGAAAGATGTGGATGTCTTAACTATTCCAAATAAAGAGTGTACTATTGTACATGAGCCTAAGTTAAAAGTAGACCTGACTAAGTACTTAGAAAACCAGACCTTCAGATTTGACTATGCATTTGATGAGAATTCCACAAATGAAATGGTTTACAGGTAAGAATTCTGAATTAGACTTTTACTTGATTGTAAAATACATAATATTGAATGAAGTGTAAATTGTTACAAATTTGCTGTTAAATATATACACATCAAGTAATGTATTGGAAGCCAGAAATTAGATTATCAGTTTTGTGTGTAAGTTGAAAAATTGAATTTAAAAACATGTATCCAGTTTAAAAAAGAAATTAAGCAACTAAATGAAATTTACATGTATCTTGTAGGTACACAGCAAAACCTCTGGTGGAGTGCATCTTTGAGGGAGGTATGGCTACCTGCTTTGCCTATGGTCAGACAGGGAGTGGGAAAACACATGTAAGTCATTGTCAAAAGTACATGTACATGATACTTGTACTACATGTAATTATTATTATGGAAAGCATTGTATCAACAACTTTGCTGGATTTGCTTTGATGTTCTCTGCCTGTTTACTTTAGTTACAATCTCTGGATAATTATCTATTTTAAATGTAACTTGACTTAAATATAAACATACTTGCCAACCTCCAGCATGTAAAAATCTGGTCATGACCAGATTTGGAAAGTAAAAAATCTGGTCATAACGCGTAACGACATTCACGACATATTTACCATGATTAAATTTTATACATATATAATACAAAGTATTTGTGTATTGAGAATTTTATTGAAAAAGGGTTCAATTTATAATGAAAAAAAAATTCATACAAAATTTGATAATATGATTAAATTTACATGTTAAAAAAGAGAATTGAAGGTTTCATATTTCAGTATTGACCTGAAGTAATGTGCATATATTTTTTTTTTTAAAAAAGCCTCTAAGTTTCTGCTAAATTTAAAAGTTAACCAATTTCAGTTTTGAAGTTATTTTTTCTCTCTCTTAATTAATTAACTACTGCAATATGTATTAAATGTGAAGTTAGGCCTACACTGTCTCCGATTACTTTATTTTATCGAGAATGAAAGTTCTTTCCAATATTCCTTGATATGTACATACCGGTAAATATTGTTTCTCTTTTGGTTCAATCAGAGACCTGTGTTTGGTTCAATTTGTTCCTGCTGGCCCAGATAACGATCTAGTTCTATCGGAAGCCATTTTAATTGACTTCAAACATTGATTTGTCAAATCAACACCCAGCTAATTGTTTACACCTGCACTGATAATTAATCCATCGGCATTGTTTACGTAGCAATTCTTCCTAAAAATAAAAATACTACATTATAAGGTCAAATGTCATTTTTCCTTATTCTATCTTCATACAATGGTATATTCAAAATGAAATTTGCCTTAACACGTTCTAGATTTCATAAAATCAAGTGACAGGTAGAACCTACCTCAGACAGCGATGTGTGTCCCAAGGGAAAGATAAATATGGAGTTAGGAAGGATAACTCCTATCTATAACCCGTTTCCGTGTATTAGTGGAGCATAACACAGAACATGAAAAAAGTGGGATGCATTTAAATTCAACATATTCACTATATTAGTATAATTCATAAGCAAATGTTGTAATAATTTTACTTAATGAAACTACACAGAACATGTCTGCCATGAAAATATATGACGTATGTAGAACAAAACTATAAACAACAGGGAGGTAATAAAACGACTAAACATCACCACTTCAATATACTTAAAAAATGGTCACTAAAAAGCGCTACCTCTGTTCAAACTGCAATTTTGCATAAAAATATCTAAACATATTTTGCACTGTTTAATTGATGGGTTAGCATAGGTTAGGCAGAAATACCCATGTAAATAATTTTTTTTCTAGTTGACAAATTCATAACACGTGCGTTTAGAATGATTTTTGTTAACATTTCAAGTTCTAACAGATAAAACCTGAGTAAGAATAGCTTTCTATGAACCTACAAAAATTATATTTACCTTGTTCGGACAATGTCATACGCCAGGGAAGTATTCCAAGTAGAACTCACGACCTGATGTTTTGTTTGTCTATTCAAGAGCACTATCAACAATACAGAACTTATGGTTATCGTTCTTTATCTCCCCCTAGCGGCCAGCAGAAATGCTAGTTTACGTAGATCTAAGCTTGGGTTGTAACTGGAAGTTAAAAGTGCAACCTAATTTATGAACCAAATCCGGAAATCGGGAGATTTTCGGGTTGTTCGCCAAAAATCCGGTGAAAAGCATGACCCGCCGGGTCATAAAAAATAATCGGGTTACGGGTTGAAAAATCGGGTGTGACCAGACGAAATCGGGTGAGTTGGCAACTATGTATAAACAGTGTTGAAGTGATTAGATTTTAAAATCATTAAATATTGCACTGCTGTAAATGACTATGTACTATGTATAATGTAATATTTCTTTATAGACAATGGGAGGAGATTTTTCATCTAAGGGTCAGCAGGACTGTGCAAAAGGAATTTACTGCTTAGCTGGTAAGTAAACATTCTATTTAGTGTGTCTGGTGGAAAACAGCTTCTGCTAATTCAAGGACACTACTGAATGTTTTATATTCATATATAGTGTGCTTAATGAAATCTAAACTAAATTGTGAAAAAAAAACTTCCAAGAAATATTATGCATGCTAATTGCCAAGTATAATATACATGTATTTACAGTGAGATAATCTGCTACACAGTGCTTGTACCTGTACATCCTTTTCATCTGCTGTAAAGTTTACTTAATCATTTTGTATTGCAGCTCGGGATGTTTTCAGACTTCTCAACACAAAATATAAAAAGTTGGAATTAACAGTTGGTGCAAGCTTTTTTGAAATATATAGTGGAAAGGTAATAATTCACTGTATCTCAGTGATTGGGAAGGCCAAAATGGTCAATGGGACTATAGCACAACTGTCAACATTTTTGATAGGCCATTTTGAAAATGAATGGGCCATCAATATAATCTGAAGGGCCATCTTAAGAAATAACAAAGTGACAAACAAATATGAAATACGAGAGAAAACACGGTTTTAATTAACTGAATCTGAATTTTAACTTATTCAATGCAGCAAATTTAAGGACCTCGCATAGAATATAATTGACCGGTATTTTGTGTTGAAATTACGATAGTTTTGAAAGGGAACAACCCTACCATACAAATAAATGAAGTAATTTACCTAATGTAAGTGCTTCGTTTAACCAGAAGTAATTTTTGACGGGGTTCAACCATTGAGATTTGTTGTTTTAAATTGACTTCATTTAAAATGAAGGTAAAACAAGTAAGAAAGTTGTACGCAAAATATTTCCAAATAACATCACAAAAAATTGAATGTGCACCTTGGCGCCATGATTGATTGATTTAATGTGCCATTTTTCACTTCATTGCGACTATGGCACATGGCGCAAGCCCTTCCCAATCACTGGTATCTATTTAATGATTTTTAATGTAATTGTATCTTCAAGTTATTTATGCTTTATTATAATTTGTTAAGTACTGTTCATGTAATAATTTAATCCTTTTCAAAATTTCATGCAAGTTTTTTTTTAAAGTAACGATTGTTTTTGACAGGTGTTCGATTTGCTCAATAAAAAATTGAAACTAAGAGTGCTAGAAGATGCCAAAGGACAAGTGAATGTAGTGGGACTAAAAGAGGAGCATATAGACAGTGCTGACGACGTGTTACGATTAATCCAGCACGGAAATAATGTACGGACATCAGGGACCACCTCAGCCAATCAGCACTCTTCTCGCTCACACGCTGTATTGCAGATTATTGTACGGAGAAAGTAAGTAAAGTTTTATATTTAAGATTTGTTTGATTAGGCCAACTTTAGGATAGTGTTTGTTTTCCCTCTCCTGACTCAGGATGAAAAAAATGGACTGTAGATGGGGAGGGAGGGGGGGGGAGGAGAATTTTTCCTCTGAAAGTTTCAGGTTCGTCATTGTTAGCCAGCTGGTCAGGAGTGGGCATCCAAACAAATTTTCAAGGATAGCCTGCGATATGATAGAATTTTTCTATTATAGTTTTTGATTATAAGAATCATTGAACGCAAATTCATTTTGTCGATATTATGCAATAAAGTTTCGGTCCATATGCATATAACACACTTTCATCTTTCATCTCGGATTATTCTTTTCTTTTTAGAAACTCAAATAAACTACATGGGAAGTTTTCATTGATAGATCTTGCAGGTATGTGTCCATGAAAATTCTTAAGTTTTTCATTTCCACCTCCACACACAGAAGTGCAAACAATAAAATTCCAAGTTCTTAAAGCAATTCTTAAATGCACCTACAGTGTCCATGTATATGAATTTTATCACAGGTAATGAACGTGGTGCTGATACCTCCAGTGCAGACAGACAAACTAGAATGGAGGGAGCCGAAATTAACAAAAGTCTTCTTGCTCTAAAGGTAAATGATAAGATCATTACATCTGTGTCATTATATTTAACATTCCACAGCTGTCTTATCCTGAATTTTTAGTCTGACTTGAAACAAATTTTTAAAAAAGATTATGAAAACAAGCAACATTTTTGTGGTGTTTGTTGAAAGTGAAACTCACTTACATTAATACAGATGTTAAAATTGAATGACAAATATATTTATCTTTGTTCAGTGTATGAAACATAATGACGTTTTCATCAACAGGAGTGTATCCGTGCTTTAAGCAGGAGAGGGGAATATCAGCCGTTCAGAGCCAGCAAGTTAACTCAGGTGCTCAGAGACTCCTTTATAGGAGACAACTCCAGGACTTGTATGGTGAGTTATGTTTCTTAGTCTAGCTTGAGTCTTCCCACTTTGAACATCCAAAGAATAAAATGAAGACTTCAAACTTGGATACTGTGGGATCATCATTGTTTGTAAGGGACTAATACTTAGGGATTTAACTTTGTCAGTGCATTGGTTCAATGAAAAATTGGTATATACATGTACAATTTAGCCTTAAAAACTACATCACCATGAACCAGCAAAAATTTTGACAGCCTAAAATCGTTTCACAGTAATTAATGGAAAACATTTAATGAATTTAAAATGAAACTTGATTAATGAATTATATATAACTTAAATACAAGTTTAATCCAGTGATTTCTATTGCTTTGACAGATTGCTATGGTTTCTCCTGGAATGTCATGCTGTGAACACACATTGAACACTCTACGATATGCAGACAGGTATATTATATTTTCTGACAGATATTTGTGGAGAACTTCTATACCCTGACTTAGTTTCTAGTGCCATTATCCATCAAATAATAAATTATTCTTTTAAAACAAATATTGAATTGATCAAAACCTGCATTCTTGCTTCCGGGTCATAAAACTTAAATGAGCTCACTTTTAATCTCAGTTTCACTTTTCCACTATTAATTCTTTTTGTAAAAGTGGGATTGAGATCAAAACCTGGTCATTTAAGTTATGTGGCCCAGAAAATTGATCCTAATATTTATTGGACAAGACAAAATTTTGAAAAATCAACTGGAAAAAAATGGTTTCCTTTGATTACAGAGTGAAGGAGCTTGGACCGGGAGGACCAGTGGAGGGAAAGCCTGCTGAGATAGCTCTGCCAAACAATATCAACTTTGGAGCCATGTCACCACAGAACAGTGACCTAGCCAAACTCAAGACCTCCAATGTAAGGCAGCTAGAGTAAACAGCTAGGGAATCTGCAAATGTGTAACGTGAAATCATTTATTTTTGAAAATTACAAATAACTGAAGAGTTTTACATAGACCATAAGGTGCAAAATATTAGAAAAATTTTTTTGAAAAAGCAAAACTTAAAGAGAATTTCACCATTTATCAATGATGTTTGATTTTTATCATTTTGAATGTTAGAACAGATATTTGTATAAGATCGGTCAAACGTTTCTGTCATTCATGGGATCTTGAAAATCCAGCAAACTTGTCACAAATTTGAAAAGATTATCTTTGTTTTGAAGCTTTCCTGTATATAATGCAAACAGATTGAGATGGTCTGTTCTCTTATTTTATAATTCTGTTTTTAGCAAGATGAGATTCCTGATGAGTTACTGACATTCCATGAAGCTGTCAACCACATGCAGGAAATGGAGGAAGAAATCATTGATGACCACAAAGCTCTAATAGAGGTCAGTGTAAAATCCAAAGAATTTCAATTTTGATGAAATTGTTTTTTTGATTCCTCTAAATTTAATTTATTGCATTGTGCTTAGTAGAACGATTGAAGAATAGGATCATTTATTAATACAAGTATTCATGCAAATTTAGTAACATGCTTTAATTTGGATCTATTTATGAATCTCCAGAATACACAGAAATGGCTAATAGAAGATAAGAAACTGGCAAAAAACTCTGATGAAGCTGACTATGATGTAGAAGGTAATTTTTTTTTTTTTTTTAATATGTATAGTTTTACATGGATACTTTTGAAAGTTACTAACTTGCCCAGGTTTTTATTCATCTGATTAAGAGCAAAAAAAAAAAAAATTAATCTTCACTTTTAATTATTATTATTATCTAAAAGGCACTGAGTCATTCTCAAACAAACTTAGGTAATGACAAGTTTGGCTTTCCAGAAAGCCTGAAATGTCATCTCTTTGGTATCAATAATGTCAAAGAAATAAAACAGAAAGGGAAATATTTTAATGCAATGAATATATGGATTATTACACATGAAGTTCCCAAATGACTTATTCAGCAAACTCCACAGTAAAGTACGCAGTTTCTTTTGGCCGCAGTATATATATAGAAAGCATGGACGTCTGCGAGAGAACCCAAGGCGATTTTTGGTGAAATTTCATTCTAGCGGTCTTTGTGCTTCTGGGTGTTTACAATTTACTTAAATTCAAATACTTTCCTTGAACTATATTTTCTTAACACAATACGGAATTATCAGCAATAATTATTATTCATTTAAAAGCAGCTAATCATTTAAGTTTGACAGGAATTAATTCAATAAATCCAATTACAGACTAAAAAATTTACATAAAATTAGCGTTGACCACTCTTCCTTCATTTTTTGCAGAATCTAATTGTAAGCTTGTTCTTTTGTGCGAGAACCAGTTTTCCCTTCGCGTCAACAAATCTATATATAGAAATCACGTCATTGTCAATTCTCCTTGTGTGGCTTACCAATTTAATAAGGCATAGTATTTAGGATCAATATATATACGACACACCGAAACTATAGATATTTATAAGCATCGTACTTCTTTTCTAAATTTTCCTTGGCTTTCAAATATGCCTAAACCGAAAGTAGATCACACACTCCTAAGCTAGTTCTTCTAAAAGAAAACCAGTTTACAGGCTACTTGGAACTCGGTAAAACATCGAGGACTCCCGAAAGATTAATGGAAGCTTACACTAGGACTTCACTTCCGGCATACAATCTTAATGTGTCATCTCCCGAGGGAGATGACAAAAAATATCTTTGAATGAAAAGATCCATTTTCTCCCTTCAGTGAAAGAGAAAATCTTTAATTTTTAGATATAATTAATACTGTAGAATGGCAAATAATCACAATGGTTTTAATTTCGCTATGTTCGCGATTTACCATTTTTCCATAAAATTAAACCCATCATGAATGTTATCATTAGTTTTGAAGTGCTTTTAATACGAAATTTTGAATCAATTGCTTTTAGCCTGAATTAAAACCATTGCAATTAACAGTTTTTGAGATATCGTGAAATTATAACACCGTGGAATTAAAACGACTTACAGTAAATCTGAAGTTTAATAACATTTTGTTGGAATAGTTTCTAAATATGAAAACAAAGAGTGTGACTTATGAGAGATTATGGTTCATTTTCTGTTTTTATAGAGTGGAAATGATGTACATACACAGTTGAAAAAAATAATTAAAATGTTTTTCCTTCATTTTCTTCAGCATATGCAAGGCAGTTAGATTCCCTTTTGGCAAAGAAAATCCAAACACTGACCAAACTGAGGGGTAAGATATTTCTCTAAATTTTTTTAATGAGGTCTTCATACATGTATCTGTATATTATATTTATTATATCACAAATAAAATTTGGTCATCTTGAATATGATTAATTGGATATCATGAAATTCTTCTCTTTTCTGAAGTTGAACAGTGGTAAAAATCTATGTTGTAATGACTATTTTTGCAATAAAACATTGATTGAGCAATTTTTATTGTGGACATGTCTGTTAAGGTATTAGAGAGGAAGATTTTTATTACAAGAGGGAATTATATATTTTTCTTTATTTTCAGAAAAAGTCGCCAGCTTCAGGAAAGAAATACAGGAGGAAGAGAATCTCAGTAAAAACATCAAGAGTAAGAAGAAATGAACCCCCGAGGCCATTAATCAGGAATCTTAACCACCGCGTACATCATGACAAGTCATCTTCAATAACTCACGAGGAGTACCGAGTATGCATGCCTGCTATCTGTGATATATTATTTTTTTTCTGCTTCCCAGGAGAGATTAGCTCACCAAGTACATATATACTGAGATCTAAGTACAGGTGTACTGAGATTTTTGTTTACAAGCTTTACACTGTGATGACAAAAAAAAATTAGCCTTGTAGACCAGTGTCCATTATAGAACAAATTTTTCTGTCTCTTTAACTCTCTCTTCTCTAGTTCTAGTCTTTGGAGGGTATATATGAACTTGCCAGCTGTTGTAAGGTCAGTGTTGTGTCCATCATAGAACTTAACTCATGAATGAAACGGCCACATCTGTATCATTAGTCTCATTGAAATCCACATTATTGTAATTGTTATACGGGGCACTCTTGGATGTCAAGTTGGTAAATAGGGAAGGGGGAAAGGAATATTTGAGTGTCAGAAAATTAATTATCGTAGTACAGGTTGAAATTTCACTAGTCATATTGAGATATTTTTCAGTTTATACAGAGTTGAAGGTTGTTTTTTTATTAGATTAAACAGACTTGTGTTGTTGATTATACATGTAGCCTGTTACCCTTGAAAATTATTACTGATACAAAGATAGAAAAATGAATGTTATGCATCGTTTATAAATGATGATTCAGTGTATCTTGCTGCTAATTTTTGCACATCTACCATGAATGCTGTATTTTCTGTGAAACTTTTAAATGCTATTCTTAATAATTTTTCAAGTACAAAATTCACTTCTCAATATGTGTTCATCCTTTGCTAAAGTCAATATTGCATTCTCTGTTATTTTGTAACTAACCCCAAAACACTAACTTGAATACTTTATGTTGAAGAGTTCATTGTTTACATGTGCAATAAAGAAAATATTGATGTACTGTATTTCTCTTCTTTTATACCTAACAAATGTCAAATGGAGAATATTTCTTTTTATTATGGATGCAAACTTGGTTGTGTTTTTGTTAATAGCAATGTTAATAAGCAAAACAGGATGTGTTTGATAAATGATTTTGTTGAAAATCATTTGTGGTGAAATCGTATTATTGTTAATCACGTCCATGACTGTAATTTTTCATTTCATGTACTGTTGATGCATGCACATTTACAATATGTATGACAGATTTTGTTGGTATTGTTTTGTGGTGAAAAATTTATTCTGTAATCACGTACAAAACTGTATTTTGTTATTTTATGATTTCATGTACATTATCATTTTCTTTTTATGTAAATATGTACATTTATTTAAAAGAACATTTCGTGTGTCCCATTTTCAGCATATGTAATGTATAAACTATATTGTAATTGACATGTTTGTAAATTAAATGCTTTGTAAATAATAACTTAGAAAGAACTCTATGGTTTTCAGTATGAACCCCAGACACAATTCTTAGAATCATATTCAGCATTATTATCCTGTATTATTTATTAACTCAGTAGATAGAAAGAAGTAGACTCATATGGGAGGGTGATTATCCTTAATACATGTATGTACACATATTTACAATTTCTTTTTATCTATTTTTTTCCCCAGCTCATTATTATATTTTAATAACTTACCTGTTAAATCTAGAGGAATTGAACTGAAATTTCCAAATTGGAACTGATGCATGAAATTTCATGTGAAATAATATTGTACCCATTGTAACCCTTTGGTAGGGGTTGTCATTTGTGAAATACTTGTAATATTATTTGTAGTCATTAATTTATAGGGATAAAATATAACAAAACATTTTCCAAATTTATGAATTGAATTTATATTTTTTTCCACCTGACATTCCAAGTAAGGTAATATTCATAAGTGTAGCCACTTCTTTAGTTATCTTCTACTGAAGACGTTATGAATTATTTTAAGTTTTGTAAATTTTTTTTCTCGAATTTCGAAGAAAATTCATTTTTTTTGTTTAAGATTCATGGATACTCTGACAAGAGAGATAACTCTGGATGACATGAATTTTTCAAGGTAAAACTGTATTTTACCCCGGCTTTTCCCTGCAAGCTATTTTACACTGTGTTTATTTTACCAAAATACATTTCTCTTAGAAAAGTTAAAGCAACCTTTTATAAATCCTGTTAAATAATATTATTAAATCTTTTCTTGAAGAGTATCCACATGAAAATTGGAGAAAGTACAAAAGGCATCTGTGATTTATTAACTACTTGAGTAAGAAATGTGATGAATCAAAAAAGGGTTATTTTTTAAGTGTGAAGAGTTGAAGAGCTTACTGAATTTAGCAACTCAAGAAGTGTAGACTGCTGTAAGAATTAAGGTCACAATGAATAAAGAATGAATAAAGATGCTTATTCTTTGTCATTATCAACCAGGTTTTTCTGTAAGAAAAATCCAATTATTATACCCCACGCAACAAGTTGTGTGAGGTGTAATGTTTTTTACCCGTCCATCAGTCAGTCCGTCAGTCCTGTTTTTTTGTCAGCGCAACTCCTCTTAAAACGTTGCACAGAATTTCATCAAATTTTGCAGATATTTAGGACACGATGTGTAAATTGATTGTATATTGTTTGACGTCCCTCGCGAGAATTTTTCACTCGTATGGAGACATTCACAATGTGTAGATGTGCATGTTACCAGGAAATTCCGATTCCTGTATTTTTTCATTGAATTTTTGCACTTTTCAACTTAGATTTTTGGCCATACCTTGTATATAGCGATGAACAGTTTGTTAGTGCAACTCCTCTAAAACCGCTGCACAATATTTCGTCAAATTTAGCAGATATTTAGGACACAATGTGTAGATGTGCATATTACCAGGAAATTCCGATTCCATTATTTTATCAGGGAATTTCCGTACTTTTCAACTTAGATTTTTGGCCATACTTTTAATATAGAGATGAACAGTTTGTCAGCGCAACTCCTCTTAAACCTCTACACAGAATTTCATCAAACTTTGCAGAAGAAACAATGTGTAGATTTGCATATTATAAACGGGAAATTCTGATTCCTCCATTTTTCTGGGATTTTCAGCACTTTGAGTTTTGGGAGAGCGTGGGGTATGTGAGCTTGCTCACTTTTTTAGCTCACCTGAGCCAAAGGCTCAAGGGAGTTTTTCTGATCACATTTTGTCTGTAGTCCGTCTGTCCGTCCGTCTGTCTGTCTGTAAACTTTTCACATTTTCGACTTCTCAAGAACCGCAGAGCCAGTTTCAACCAAACTTGCCACAAAGCATCCTTGGGTGAAGGGGATTCAAGTTTGTTCAAATGAAGGGCCAGGCCCTCATTCAAGGGGAGATCATTGGGAATTAATAAAAATCTGGTGGCATGTTTTAAAAATCTTCTCAAGAACCACTGTGCCAGGAAAAATGAAACTTATATGGAAGCATTCTCAGGTAGTGTAGATTCAAGTTTGTTCAAATCATGACCCCAGGGGTAGGGCGGGGCCACAATGGCCAACCAAAGTTTTACAAAGAAATATATAGGAAAATTCTTTAAAAATCTTCTTCTCAAGAATAACAAAGCTATAATTGATCATATTTATATGGAAGCATCCTCAGGAAGTGTAGATTCAAGTTTGTTGAAATCATAACCCCGGGGGTAGGGCGGGGCCAAAATGGCCAACCAAAGTTTTACATAGAAATATATAGGAAAATTCTTTAAAAATCTTCTTCTCAAGAATAGCAAAGCCATGATTGGTCATGGGACTACTTTTGGATTTAAACTTTTCAATAATAAACCAATTTCTACTTTTTCCTAGCCACAGTGCTCAGGTGAATGATGTGGCCCATGGGCCTCTTGTCTTTCATTAAAATGGTGAAAATGTCAGGTAGCTGGGAAGCCATAGTCGCAAACCACGGCCAAAATGTATGATCCTCCCCCATTCTGGAGAGAGCTTTATGCAGACTCCGGACCGTGGCGTGAGAGGATGCTGGGAAGCTGCCTAAAGGAAATATGTTCAGAAAATGTCCTTGCAATGTCAAAACTTCTTTGTTTTGCAGTTCATAAGTGCATTTTTAAATCATTTGAGGTCTTTGAAAAGATGAAATACCAACGGTATGTGTTTTTTTAAACAACAATTGGAATTGGTTTCTTCAGATATTGAACTTCTGATTTTGTCATTGAATGTTAACTGTGTAGAAATTCATAAAGAGTCTGAAATATATGCACTACAGTGAGTTTTATTGTGTCAATAGATATGGATGCCCCCTCAGGTAAACGGCAGTTGTTTGGAGGATCTCAGGCAGCCATTGAGAAGATGCTGTTATTCAGGAGAGAACTGCAGTCCATGAACCAGAGGCTAAAACGGGAGTACGGCAAAAGTGAGAGCAACAACAAATCACTACAGGTGACTCAAATTTATCTGTATAAATATCTGTAAGAATTGTGGTGTTGAATCATTACCAAAGGATATCTAATTGTTTAGGACCTGTGGGGTATACATTATCTAAGAGCATGGTATTTAAACAGTTCTTTCCATACCCAGTGCCAGTAAATTAATATTTGAAATTCTCGCATATTAAAACTTACATTTTTATAATGATGAAGAATAACAGTGTTTCTCTGATATTAAACAGTGTGTTTTGTGTTATTTTTAGAATGTCTTTAGTTTGTTGGCTACTCTGATCCATGGAACAGTCCAGTAGGATACCAGCTAGACCCGGTGCAACGAGAATCAATCTGTGCTGCCTTAAACAGTGCTATATTAGGTACTGTAATTGTAAATCCTGATGAAACTAGTACATGAAGAAAAAAATTAAATGCCTTTAAGGTTCATAATTTTCATTTTAATTTTAAGCACTTTCACAAATCTTGTTCAAGCTGTCTGTAGAATTCAATTACTATAGAGTCTACATAAGATCCTTGATAATGCTGTATTGTAGAATCCCAGGGTCTGCCAAAACAACCTCCCCTAGAACTGGTTATTGCCCAGTCCACTGAGTGCATGGAGATAATGTCCAAGATTGGGTCCTGTGCATTTGCCTACCTCTCGGACTATCTTTACTGACAAACAGACAAGCAGGTGCTTGACAAAATTTCCAAGTTTTGTAGAAGTCATTAGTTACTGGATGCAGTCATGTCAGGTGTCTGACCATGAACAATCATTGTATGCAACTCTTCTCAAATTCACTGTAGTTTGTTCATTTTATGCATTTTTTGTTTCTTTGAAAGAACAACACAAAAGTTAAATTAAGTTAATTTAGAGGGGAATGGTTTGAATACTACCATGTGAATTATGTTTCAGAATTTATTTTTTTGATGACCTTGGAAATTGAATGTGCTGTATGTGATGAAAGGAAACTTTTTCATTGTTTCTTATCAGCGATAAAAAAAATATACTTAAAAAGAATTTAATGGTAATTATTATATGTAAATTTTCAAATGGTGCCTCTCTTGTGTGTTTTTTCTAAATGTAGAATTAGGTCAGTTACCCAGTATTAATCAAGGCCTTAATGAGAGTATGTTTTATTTCTACACTGGTATAATTTTGAATAATGGGGTGGAAGTATTTTGAGAAGTTGGTAATGTTCTGTGGCAGTGCTACAATCTCTTTGATTTTGTCAGGTTACATTTTTTGATCTCAGTCCACCAATTCTGCTGATTGGGTCTGCAAAAAGGATATTAATTATATCAACATCATGTGAAACATTAAAAACTAGACAATTAATATAAGAAATGTCAGAAATTGTCATTATGTACATAATATGTTAATGTATCAGTATGTATATATGCACAGAATGTGCATGGAAAACATCTAAAGGATGGCTTTCATAAAAATGGTGACTGGTTTTTAACATGTACTACTGCATATATAACTTTTTTTGTGATCAGAATGCTATAGTGATCTAGTGAACAAATATAGATTACTACTGTTTTATGGAAGAGTTACCATTTCTTGATAGATTTGAATATTTATTCTGTAAATATAGAGAGATGCGAGGTTGGACATTGTGAATTTGTATATCTATTCAGCTTGTTTTACAGTTTATTTATTAATATGAGAGGAACACTTATGCAAGTTTATTATAAAGTGCAAATGTTTTTATACCAAACAGCCATTGGGCTATATCTTATGTGTGTGATATTTAAAATACATTAAAGATTGTACATCTAAGATTGTTGATTATTTGAAGAGGACACTATCCAGAGCATGATAGTCGTATTCTCAAATGATGAAGTATTAAAAGCAAATATATCAAAGTTGGGACTTAGGAAATGGTGATGAGCAGTGGTTACACTTTCATTGTACTTTACAATAGGTATTAGAAGTGAAACACCCAACTTTTCAAAAATGAAATACAGTATAATTTGTCCAATCCGGCTACCGCCGGTTCCATAAAATTTGGCCGGATTAGACAGAATCCGGAGTGCAGGAAAATATAAATTTCGAAAATTTTCGTTATTTACAAGCACATCATATACATATTATAAATAAAATTAAATTATGAAATCAATTACTATTCTGGAGTCTATAGAAATTATAAAATAGTCTCACATGACTTACAGTATTTTCTTATTTGTTCACGAAGTTTGAAAGTCGGGTGAAATGTTACCTCAATCAAAATATACAGGCACGCATAATATAGGCCTACTATGTATTAAGCGGACCGGGTTTCGCTTGTCAAAGACCTCATTCAATGTATTAACAGTAATGCACAATTATTTAAGATGTGCTAATTATTAGATTGAACTTTTAATTTTATGTAAAAAATTACGTCTTCCCCCACAGTGTTATGGCGCCATTTTGAAATGCGTTGTCATTTTCATAATATTTATATTTTGATTTGTATAATCGCATACATATATTTTTGTGTTTATGTTATAATGTGGTAAAAGGAGTTAAAACAAAGTTTCTTTTTTTAATTGTAATTTAATATAATATATTTTTCAATTGGACTGTGTCACCGCCGCATTTCACCGAGTTCGTCTTATGGCACTAATAATCATGCTAATGTAAACACGGATTATCACATTCCCCAGAAAGGTGTTAATTTCTTTGAAGTAACTCAGGTGTGGCCGGTTTACAGGGAATAATTAACGTTAATTATGAGCAGTTGGGACCAGTATGCCGTTTAATACAGAATACACAGTATCCGGACTACACAGAATTTTTTAAAATGAATTTGTTAAAGAAGTGCATGGGACTAAAATTTACGGACGGAATGGACAAAAGTCCGGAGTACTCAAATGATGGATTAGACAAATTTTACTGTACTGTAAATGTATTGAATTTTGCGTGTACAATATTTGGTTCCATTGTACTTTACAATAGGTATTAGAAGTGAAACACCCAACTTTTCAAAAATGAAATACTGTAAATGTATTAAATTTTGCGTGTACAATATTTGGTGGTAATTGATTATAAGTTTGTGTAGATTTGATTTAGCGCATTTTCTAATCTTCATGTTTATGAGATTTGTGCAAGACATTTAGTATTATACTTGAATTAGCGGAAGTTTCGTCTGTCAAAGGCGGTAGAAAGAATACACAGCAAAATGCAATTAATATATTTACAGTATGCTCACTAAATATGATAGAACTACCAAGTTTGTGAGGTGGATGAACGGAGACTCGTTATGCCTACTCACCATCTGCATCCATGAGTTTAGCACCCCCACCCCTCTAAATAATTGAATGCTTGTATGAACACAGAGTATATAATTGAGAGTATAAAGAAGAAATTTCATTAAGTGTGACTGTTCAATTTCCATAACATGCACTTCTGGGTGCCCCCCCCCCACACTTAATTCCATTTGCAGTTTGACCAAACTGATATTTTAGATTCTAAGCCAAGTATTTTGCAATTAGTGACTTTTCTATTTGCTGAAGACACAGGAGAGTATATTGGAGGTACAATAGGACAAACGCTTATAACAAAGGGCTCCTGATCATAGGGGCTTGTCTTCCGGATTGTGTAAAATAAATAAATTATTTGAAAAAAAATTAATCTAATTTATATACACTTAAAAGTTGTTAAAATAAAGATTCTGACACTTTCAGTCAAGAAAAACCACGTTTAAAAAAGACGTACCACACCTATATACACAGAGTTTATGTATATAGGTGTGGTACGTCTTTTTTAAACGTGGTTTTTCTTGACTGAAAGTGTCAGAATCTTTATTTTAACCACTTTTAAGTGTATATAAATTAGATTAATTTTTAAAAATAATTTATTTATTTTACACAATCCGAAAGACAAGCCCCTATGGATTAGGCTATCCTGGAAAATCCTTTGAAAAGCTTATTGATAATTTTATTTGCAGTCAAATTTGATGCTTTGCAATAATCTTACATTTGATTAAGCTACTAGTATTAACACATTATTAAAATTTTACAAATTATTGTTAGAGATATCTAAACGGAGGGTAGGTGTGTGTGTGTTATTAACACATTATTTACAACAAAGCTACGAGGGTATTTGAAGCTACTAGTATTAACACATTATTAAAATTTTACAAATTATTGTTAGAGATATCTGAAACGGAGGGTAAAAAAAAGGTGTGTGTGTGTTAAAGTTGCTCATCAGCGTTATGCTTATAGCTATTTACAACAAAGCTACGAGGGGTTATCAAAAAGTTCGTAGACTGAGGCTATAAAATTAGTACTATGTAGTCTGTGCTTTCAAAATTTATAAGGAACATAAAACAACAAAAAATAAAGAAATGTTGAAAATTTTAGCCTGATACGTTCATTATTTTCCAAATTATTATAAATGAAAACGACAATATATGATCACCCGGCGCTGTCGTCGTTTATTTTCATGACGTCCGATAACGTCATTGTTTTTTCATTGTCCGCTTCTTCATGCTTCTTCTACCTCATACACTTTCTTGATGAGAAACCCAGGAGCTGAGTAAGGACTTAAACCCGCCTTGTTTATATGACGTTACAATGTCATGAACAGTGGCCTTCAATGAATATAATATTCCAAATGGATTAATACATTGGGAGAGATACGCGCTTGATTGCGCCGGCATATTTTGCTTATGGGAGTTCAATCTCTACAACGCATGATCAACGTCATTTTTTGATCTGATTGATTTTTCACACCTTGACTGCACATCGACATTAACTGTGTATCCCTTTTCTCTCTTTATTTTATATTTTTTATTTTTTCAATTTTGCATTTTTTATTGACATTAAAAGACAAATATCTCTTACTTCACATATCTCTCTCTCAACCAATGGAAAATATATACATTTTATTTCTTTTCAGCTGTCAAAATCATGCCAGTTTCAACATATTTTAGGTATTTTTATTATGGCTATACCAGCTTTTATTTCTCTGTAGCCAGTTTCAACATACTTTAGGTAGGGGCAAAACTTTATAGAATGTTGGAAACGGAAACCCCTCCCCCTTTTGACGTCATTTTCAAGGCCTCATTTGTTTGGACATTCCGTGTAAAATTTGCGATAAAATTTCATAGAACTTCCAGAATGAAATGAAAATTTCGTATTTCATGGAACAATTCTGTCCAGACACATACCTCTTTTAACGGGATTTTTGGATGTCAAATGACCATATCAAAAGAGTTTTTTTTTCAGTTACACATAGGTCGCAAAAACGTCGTGTTCGAGGTTGCGCCGCCTGGACATACCATTGCTTGCAAAAACATCATTAATTTATTAAAAAATAAAATTTATGATTTATGGTTTATTCTTTAGATAGAAAAGATGATGCTTACTAGATATTTTAAAATTCATTGATGTGCTTAAAACGGTTTTAATTTTATGACGCTAGTCCACGAACTTTTTGATAACCCCTCGTAATTTGCAGTTTGGCCTCGTCAATAAATTATTTGAAAAGCAATTTAAGCTAATATAATTCTACTAAAATTATAAATTAATGCTGGATTACATCCCTGAAAATCCAGAATTTTGATCTTGTTCTTTTTAAAACTTTATATCATCGTATTTATATCTCATTAGTATCAGTACATTTTTTTGTCAACAATTTCAATAGTAATTCTCCTCCTGACCAAATTACTGTTTTTAAATGCTCATACAACGATATTTTTTCTAAGATCTTTTTCAAAGAAGTAAATTCTTTGTAAGAGTCCAACTTGCGTACTTTTGGCCTATCAATAAAAAAATCAAACAAAGGGACATAACTCGTCTATGAAGGAGGCATTCGGAAATACTCGGAAATATTGGGTCAATTGCGTATGAAAATGTCAGTTTGTTCCGAATGAGAATCAGTTACCAAGGAAGTAGATCCTTGTCAACAAAGAGTTACGGAGCGCGAAAGTGTGCGGACGGTGTAAAAGAGCGAGATGAAAAAAGCAAAATACACAAGGAAGAAAACATCCAGACAGGTTTGGTCCATACAAACATGTTTAGTGTTGGGACAAACTTCATTTATAAATGTATTTTATTTTCCGAAATCCTTAAATATTATCATGTTTAATTGGTTATCAACATCACCCGTACTGGCCATAGCTAGAGAGATGCATGATACATGAGCAGTAGAGCTATGCTGGGCAGAATTTTCACGCACAAAAAAGGAAGATAACTAAGTCAACATACAGATTTACTTTGTATTAGGTTCGACAAAACGAGACCTATATGTAAATAAAGAGGAACATGGATTGAACAACATGTTGCACTATCAGTTTCTGCTACTCAACCTGCTTTCATTGTACAAGGCAACGATATTGAATATTAATCAGTTCCTTGTATACATTTACTACTATTTGATTATCATTATTTGATATATGACGTTTGAGACATGATTTGATGTTTGAGATATGACCTAAAAATTATATCTCTTAAAATTTCGGAATTTTACACAGTATCCGCTCCGAATGTTACTTATCGAAATAACCCGGATATTGTTACCATGACTTCACTCCAGTTGTAGGCCGCGAAGGCTTTGGATGCACGGAAGAAAGGAGAGATTAAAAAATAGAAATATAAAAGAAAACAACAGGTTTGGGGATCTTAAATGCGTTTTATGTTCAATGTTTGTATCTTATGTTTATAATTTTAACACAAAATGAAAATGGAAATAATCAAAATATCATTATTTATGCATTGACATGAAATAAGCGCACCTCAAGCGCCAAAAAATACCACGTTACTTTCTAGAATAATTATTTGATATAACACACATACTTTTAACTCATTTTGAAAGTTTTTTTTTCGTATGAGAAACAGACATATAAGTTCTTAAGCTAAAATATCACTGCTAGAATGACATTTCAAAATGTTCATAGCCCAAACATATTTGAAAAAAGATCTTTCCAATTGCAAGGGTAACAAAAAAAGGTAACACCTACTAATGTCCCTGATGTTGCCCATACTTGCAGTACACACAATTCATCAATTGGTAAATAGTATGTTTATTTTATTGTCACTCACTCAAAAAACTTCAGACTGTGACTTAATCTTGGCTTGATAGAAGCTAAGAAAAACACCAATTGAAGGGTACTTGCCAACAGTAGACGACTGAAAGATGGTAAGTTTATTTTATTGTCTAATTGTAAATGATGTGTGTGCATTGTTGATGCACTCAAGTCACAGTCTGCAATACGTGGTGCTTGTATGTGGTATACTTGCCAGCAGTACACGACTGAAATATGGTATGTTTATTTTATTGTCTAATTGTAAGTGAAGTGTGTGCATTGTTGATGCACTCAAGTCACAGTCTGCAATAGGTAGTGCTTGTATGTGGTATACCAGTTGCTAATGTCCCTGGTTTTGTCTATGCTATAGATAAACCCAGTGGATTAAAAAACTGAATTGAGCCACTCACTCATAAAACTTCAGACTGTGACTTGTACTCAATCTTGGCTGTGATAGAAGCCAAGAAACAACCCTGATTAAAACATACTTGCAAGAAGTAACCATTTCGATTATGTTAAGTGTATTTTATTGTCTGATTGTTTTGATGTTGTATTTTGAGTTGAATATGATGCGCATGGCCCACCAAGAGAGTTCTGTGCATTGTTGATGCACTCAAGTCACAGTCTGCAATACGTGGTGCTTGTATGTGGTATACTTGCCAGCAGTACACGACTGAAATATGGTATGTTTATTTTATTGTCTAATTGTAAGTGAAGTGTGTGCATTGTTGATGCACTCAAGTCACAGTCTGCAATAGGTAGTGCTTGTATGTGGTATACCAGTTGCTAATGTCCCTGGTTTTGTCTATGCTATAGATAAACCCAGTGGATTAAAAAACTGAATTGAGCCACTCACTCATAAAACTTCAGACTGTGACTTGTACTCAATCTTGGCTGTGATAGAAGCCAAGAAACAACCCTCATACTTGCAAGAAGTAACCATTTCGATGATGTTAAGTGTATTTTATTGTCTGATTGTTTTGATGTTGTATTTTGAGTTGAATATGATGCGCATGGCCCACCAAGAGAGTTCTGTGCATTGTTGATGCACTCAAGTCACAGTCTGCAATACGTGGTGCTTGTATGTGGTATACTTGCCAGCAGTACACGACTGAAATATGGTATGTTTATTTTATTGTCTAATTGTAAGTGAAGTGTGTGCATTGTTGATGCACTCAAGTCACAGTCTGCAATAGGTAGTGCTTGTATGTGGTATACCAGTTGCTAATGTCCCTGGTTTTGTCTATGCTATAGATAAACTGGATTAAAAAACTTGAGCCACTCACTCATAAAACTTCAGACTGTGACTTGTACTCAATCTTGGCTGTGATAGAAGCCAAGAAACAACCCTGATTAAAACATACTTGCAAGAAGTAACCATTTCGATGATGTTAAGTGTATTTTATTGTCTGATTGTTTTGATGTTGTATTTTGAGTTGAATATGATGCGCATGGCCCACCAAGAGAGTTCTGTGCATTGTTGATGCACTCAAGTCACAGTCTGCAATACGTGGTGCTTGTATGTGGTATACTTGCCAGCAGTACACGACTGAAATATGGTATGTTTATTTTATTGTCTAATTGTAAGTGAAGTGTGTGCATTGTTGATGCACTCAAGTCACAGTCTGCAATAGGTAGTGCTTGTATGTGGTATACCAGTTGCTAATGTCCCTGGTTTTGTCTATGCTATAGATAAACCCAGTGGATTAAAAAACTGAATTGAGCCACTCACTCATAAAACTTCAGACTGTGACTTGTACTCAATCTTGGCTGTGATAGAAGCCAAGAAACAACACCGATTAAAATATACTTGCAAGAAGTAACCATTTCGATGATGTTAAGTGTATTTTATTGTCTGATTGTTTTGATGTTGTATTTTGAGTTGAATATGATGCGCATGGCCCACCAAGAGAGTTCTGTGCATTGTTGATGCACTCAAGTCACAGTCTGCAATACGTGGTGCTTGTATGTGGTATACTTGCCAGCAGTACACGACTGAAATATGGTATGTTTATTTTATTGTCTAATTGTAAGTGAAGTGTGTGCATTGTTGATGCACTCAAGTCACAGTCTGCAATAGGTAGTGCTTGTATGTGGTATACCAGTTGCTAATGTCCCTGGTTTTGTCTATGCTATAGATAAACCCAGTGGATTAAAAAACTGAATTGAGCCACTCACTCATAAAACTTCAGACTGTGACTTGTACTCAATCTTGGCTGTGATAGAAGCCAAGAAACAACCCTGATTAAAACATACTTGCAAGAAGTAACCATTTCGATGATGTTAAGTGTATTTTATTGTCTGATTGTTTTGATGTTGTATTTTGAGTTGAATATGATGCGCATGGCCCACCAAGAGAGTTCTGTGCATTGTTGATGCACTCAAGTCACAGTCTGCAATACGTGGTGCTTGTATGTGGTATACTTGCCAGCAGTACACGACTGAAATATGGTATGTTTATTTTATTGTCTAATTGTAAGTGAAGTGTGTGCATTGTTGATGCACTCAAGTCACAGTCTGCAATAGGTAGTGCTTGTATGTGGTATACCAGTTGCTAATGTCCCTGGTTTTGTCTATGCTATAGATAAACCCAGTGGATTAAAAAACTGAATTGAGCCACTCACTCATAAAACTTCAGACTGTGACTTGTACTCAATCTTGGCTGTGATAGAAGCCAAGAAACAACACCGATTAAAATATACTTGCAAGAAGTAACCATTTCGATGATGTTAAGTGTATTTTATTGTCTGATTGTTTTGATGTTGTATTTTGAGTTGAATATGATGCGCATGGCCCACCAAGAGAGTTCTGTGCATTGTTGATGCACTCAAGTCACAGTCTGCAATACGTGGTGCTTGTATGTGGTATACTTGCCAGCAGTACACGACTGAAATATGGTATGTTTATTTTATTGTCTAATTGTAAGTGAAGTGTGTGCATTGTTGATGCACTCAAGTCACAGTCTGCAATAGGTAGTGCTTGTATGTGGTATACCAGTTGCTAATGTCCCTGGTTTTGTCTATGCTATAGATAAACCCAGTGGATTAAAAAACTGAATTGAGCCACTCACTCATAAAACTTCAGACTGTGACTTGTACTCAATCTTGGCTGTGATAGAAGCCAAGAAACAACCCTGATTAAAACATACTTGCAAGAAGTAACCATTTCGATGATGTTAAGTGTATTTTATTGTCTGATTGTTTTGATGTTGTATTTTGAGTTGAATATGATGCGCATGGCCCACCAAGAGAGTTCTGTGCATTGTTGATGCACTCAAGTCACAGTCTGCAATACGTGGTGCTTGTATGTGGTATACTTGCCAGCAGTACACGACTGAAATATGGTATGTTTATTTTATTGTCTAATTGTAAGTGAAGTGTGTGCATTGTTGATGCACTCAAGTCACAGTCTGCAATAGGTAGTGCTTGTATGTGGTATACCAGTTGCTAATGTCCCTGGTTTTGTCTATGCTATAGATAAACCCAGTGGATTAAAAAACTGAATTGAGCCACTCACTCATAAAACTTCAGACTGTGACTTGTACTCAATCTTGGCTGTGATAGAAGGCAAGAAACAACACCGATTAAAATATACTTGCAAGAAGTAACCATTTCGATGATGTTAAGTGTATTTTATTGTCTGATTGTTTTGATGTTGTATTTTGAGTTGAATATGATGCGCATGGCCCACCAAGAGAGTTCTGTGCATTGTTGATGCACTCAAGTCACAGTCTGCAATACGTGGTGCTTGTATGTGGTATACTTGCCAGCAGTACACGACTGAAATATGGTATGTTTATTTTATTGTCTAATTGTAAGTGAAGTGTGTGCATTGTTGATGCACTCAAGTCACAGTCTGCAATAGGTAGTGCTTGTATGTGGTATACCAGTTGCTAATGTCCCTGGTTTTGTCTATGCTATAGATAAACCCAGTGGATTAAAAAACTGAATTGAGCCACTCACTCATAAAACTTCAGACTGTGACTTGTACTCAATCTTGGCTGTGATAGAAGCCAAGAAACAACCCTGATTAAAACATACTTGCAAGAAGTAACCATTTCGATGATGTTAAGTGTATTTTATTGTCTGATTGTTTTGATGTTGTATTTTGAGTTGAATATGATGCGCATGGCCCACCAAGAGAGTTCTGTGCATTGTTGATGCACTCAAGTCACAGTCTGCAATACGTGGTGCTTGTATGTGGTATACTTGCCAGCAGTACACGACTGAAATATGGTATGTTTATTTTATTGTCTAATTGTAAGTGAAGTGTGTGCATTGTTGATGCACTCAAGTCACAGTCTGCAATAGGTAGTGCTTGTATGTGGTATACCAGTTGCTAATGTCCCTGGTTTTGTCTATGCTATAGATAAACCCAGTGGATTAAAAAACTGAATTGAGCCACTCACTCATAAAACTTCAGACTGTGACTTGTACTCAATCTTGGCTGTGATAGAAGCCAAGAAACAACACCGATTAAAATATACTTGCAAGAAGTAACCATTTCGATGATGTTAAGTGTATTTTATTGTCTGATTGTTTTGATGTTGTATTTTGAGTTGAATATGATGCGCATGGCCCACCAAGAGAGTTCTGTGCATTGTTGATGCACTCAAGTCACAGTCTGCAATACGTGGTGCTTGTATGTGGTATACTTGCCAGCAGTACACGACTGAAATATGGTATGTTTATTTTATTGTCTAATTGTAAGTGAAGTGTGTGCATTGTTGATGCACTCAAGTCACAGTCTGCAATAGGTAGTGCTTGTATGTGGTATACCAGTTGCTAATGTCCCTGGTTTTGTCTATGCTATAGATAAACCCAGTGGATTAAAAAACTGAATTGAGCCACTCACTCATAAAACTTCAGACTGTGACTTGTACAAACGACCACTATTGAAATAATTATTTCAATAGTGGTCGTTATTTCAATAGTGGTTGCAACAGGCGTGTTATATTTGTGTTGTTTCACCATGCATATAATTAGTAACATAAATAAAGTTTTCCATCACACAAGGTGGAAACTAGAATGGGGAACTACAAATTTCAACTTACTAGGAATTCAGTTCTCAGTTCATCTTAAAGAAATTGTTGATATCAATTATGACTCACAACTACCTAAAATAAGAGCCTTGATTAAACAATGGAAGCGAAGAATCCTAACTCCAATTGATCGCATAACGGTTGTTAAGACTCTTATCCTACCTAAGCTTAATCATTTATTTATTTCTTTGCCATCTCCTAGAAAACAGTTTTTAGTTGATTTGCAAAAAGATATTTTTGAATTTATATGGAAGTCCAAATCGGATAAGATAAAGCGATCCCTTGTCACACAGGACTATCTTTCTGGGGGTTTAAAAATGGTCGATGTAAATAATTTTATAATTGCTTTAAAATCTTCTTGGATGAAAAGGTTAACTCAAAAACAAAAGCCATGGATGGATTTTTTTTTTGCATTGAATGGAAAAGATGTTATTGAGAAGTTATTTCATTTTGGGGATCTGTTTATTTTAGAGCATTTACTTCCTAAAAATAATGCTTTCTGGCAAGATTTATTAAAATCATGGCTGGAAGTCATGAAGTGTTTAAATAAGTGTAAAAGTGTAAAAATTAATTTTTCAAATATCCCGGTGTGGTACAAGTCTAATATCTTGGTTGGCAAACGGTCTGTATTTATCAAAAATTGGTATGAGAAAGGTATCAGAGTAATTGGAGATTTTTTAGATAGCGAAGGAAATTTTTTATGCTTTTATTCTTTACAAAAAATTTTTTGCCTCTCACAAATAGATACAAATAAGCAGATTATGCAATATAATAGTGTTCTTACTGCAGTATCAAAATATTTGAAATGTATGTCGATTGACAAATCCTTATTCACAAAATCTTTCAATACACTTATGCCCTTTTATTATGAATTGTTGTTACAGTCAGAAAAATGCACTAAGCCAATTTACTCCATTTTAAACACAAATAGTGTTAAACCTACATCTACATCAAAATGAATTTCCATTTTGAGTATCTATGGGCAGTGCAATTTTGAAATACATGATGTTTTTAAAGTTTGTTTTAAAGTAACAAGTGATACAGCTGAGCTGTTCAATGGCTGCAGTTTAGAATACTGCATAGGATTCTTCCTGTAGGTTATTATCTTAAAAAGATTAATATTAAAACTACTGATTTTTGTACCTTTTGTAAGAATGAAAGTGAAACAATTCAACATGTATTTTTATTTTGTAATAATATTTTGGAATTGTGGAGTATCTTAGACAACATATATATAGAACTACTTCAAAGAGGGTCGGATTTAACATTAATAATGTAATATTAGGAGAGATTCCTTTGTCAAAAAATAATAGAATTGTAAATTTTATTATACTATACACTAAACAATATATCTTTACTTGTTTGATGCAGAAGAAAATGCCAAATTTAAGTGCACTCTTATGTCATCTAAGAATCAAATATAATGTTGAAAAATTCGTTTCAATCAAAAAGAATAAAATTGTGTATTTTAATTCCATATGGTCTACATGGAAACCTGTTTTTGATAAGTGACAGTTCAAATTTCATTTACTATTGTTATTGTCTTTTTTTTCTCTCTTTTTTCTCTCTGTTTTATCCTCATGTTGTGGATAAAAGAATATATATATTTAACAATTCGGATAGTTTATGTACAATGTTATAGGGTGTTGGAGGAAAAAGTGACAAATTGAATTCACATGTTATATCTTTTTTTTCTTTTAATATTATCTATAGATGGATAGTGGATAGTGTGAAAGGGTGAGTGGGCGTGTGTATGGCATAAATGTAAATATGTTTCAGCTATCTCTTTGTTTATTATGATTGATTGTATGTTGTTTAACGTCCCTCTCGAGAATTTTTCACTCATATGGAGACGCCACCACTTGCCAGTGGAGGGCTACAAATTTTGTCCTATGCTCGGTACTTAGGGCCTTTGAGCAGTGAGGGATCTTTTTCGTGCCAGCACCTACTGCGACACGGGGCCTCGGTTTATACGGTCTCATCCGAAGGACCGGTCTCCACATCCCACAGTGGGATTTGAACGCGTGACGTAAGGATTGACTCCTTACTTCGCGACTCTAGAGCAGCCGCTCTAACCACTGCGCCACAAAAAATATAAATAAAAAAAAATAATAATAAACTTTTCAAATGAAATAATATTTAAGAATTTATTTTATAAGAACAGGAAAGCTACGATTTTTAGGTCACCTGAGTCACTCAGGTAACCTATTTCTATCCGTTTTCGTCCTTTGTCATGCGTCGATCGTGCGTCGTAGGTTAACATTTGAATATTTTCAACTTCTTCTCTGAAACCGCTGAACCGCTGAACCAATTTCAACCAATTTTGATATGATGTATCTATGGGTGAAGGGGAACAACAATTGTGAATTTCATTGTCTTTAATCCCCTGGGGCCTGAGGGGTAGGGCCAAAACCATTAAAATAAAAAAAAATAAAAAAAAATTCTTTACTCCTGGACATCAAACAGTCAAACTGTTGGTATGATTGCAATCAGCATTGAATCCTCTACGAAAATTGTTAAATTCATGGCCCCTGGATATTAGATAAACTAATCAAATACATAGTTATGTTGAATAAGGCTGCCTCTTCCAAAATTGTGAATTTCATGGTCCTTGGGTCATGAGTTCTTAGGTGCTAAGGCGGGGCTATATCGATTATATAGTGAAAATACATTATTTCTTTGAAAATCTTCTCTTCTCCTGAGTATTTGATAAACAAACCAAATGCATAGTTATGTTGAATAACGCTGCTTCTTCCAAAATCGTGAATTTCAGGGCCCCAGGGTCAGGGGTTCTGGTGTTAGGGTGGAGCTCTACTAATTATATATATCTGCTTCTGGGTATTAAACCAGTGAACTATGTACATAGTTATTATGAGGAAGAATGCCTTTTCCAAAATTGTGAATTTCAGGGCCCCTAGCCTCGGTTGGGGGTTCTGGGATTAGGGTTGGACTCTATTGATTATATAGTGAAAATGCATTATTTCTTTTAAGATATTCTTCCCTGCCCCTGGGCATTGAAAAAATTAACCAAGTACATAGTTATGTTGAATAAAGCTACTTCTTACAAAATTGTGAATTTCATGGCCCCAGGGTCAGGAATTCTGGTGTAAGAGTGGGGCTGTCTTGCTTATATAGTGAATGTAGTTATATAGCGAAGATACATTAATTCTTTAAAAGTCTTCTTCTCTGCTTCTGGGTGTTAAACCAGTGAACTATGTAAATAGTTATGATGAGAAAAGCTGCCTCTTCCAAAATTGTGAATTTCAAGGCCCATGGATCAGGTGTTTTGGTGTTAGGGCGGGGCTCTAATGGTTATCTAGTGAAAATGCATGAATTCTTAGAAAATCTTTTCCTTTGTTTCTTGGTATTATGCCAAATGATCTAAGTACATATTTAATGGTGCCTCTTCAAAAATGGTTAATTTCATGGCCCCTGGTCAGGGATAGTTGGGGTGGGGAGGGGGGGTACATAGTCTAAAAATAAATTAATGCTTTGAAATCTGCTCTTTGGTATTAACTATGTATTATGAAAAAAAAATGTATGATAAAATTTCAAGAATTTTTAAATATTTGCCCCCAGGATCAGTGGTTTATGTGTGTGTGGGGGGGGGAGGGGGGTACACAACTGGTTATAATTAGAATTGCATTTTTCTTTGTTACTCTGATCTACCTCTGGGTATAAAGTAACCAAAGTAAGCAAGCTAAGTGTATAGTTATAATAAGTGCCTCTTTCAAAATTGCGATTTTCATGGTCTTTGGTTTAAAACATGAAGCAATTCATTGTTGGAAAGTTGTTACATTATACTCTGGTGATCTAAAAGGCCCGTGGGCTTCTTGTTAATATTCAGATCCAATCATACTCAGGTAGGGCCTAGTGCAGATATAAGTCTGGCCATAATAGTGGTCAACGTTTTTTTTAATTTCTAAAAATGTTTTTACCCCTCTATAAATAATCTAAATTATTGCGATTTTTAAAATATAAATTCCTGAATATGAATATTGGCAATTTAACAGCGGATACGGCTGAAACTTAGAGACGTATCATTGTTTTGGAAAGGAGGCAGCTTAAAATCTTCCTGTCGACGAACGCAACTTTGTCTTCCGGATCTGGGGTTAAGTAAATTTAATCTAACTTTCATGATAAATTGATAAGTCCAATTTATACACTATCTAGAATGCTTCCGTATTAATTTAATTTCACAAAATGTATCCTTGTTTGTGAGTTCTTAGTCTGTATGGTGTGTTTCAACATTGATCAATGTGGAACTTTGGAAACCAAATGCACCCTTGTTGTAACTGAAGAGATTTTGACATATATTTCATTATGTATCACTATTACTCTAAAGGGACATAGACACTTTCATCTGAAAATTTTAAATTTATTTTCCCATTTTTTATGCTTACAAATATTTGAATAAGGTATTTTAATGATTTTCAAAAGTTTGAATGACAGTTTTTGAGATACAAGCCAGATTTAGAACTCTAAACCTTTTATCATGTTTATAGTGATTTGCTGAATCTCGTTTTGTTGTAAATATGATATTTTCTATATGTAAACAAAAACAAAGCACAAGCCTTGTTTACATTATAATGAAGTTCTGTATCTTATTTGTAAAACAACAAATGATGTTTAAATTTTTG